GTGGCTCAGCTGGGTGGAGTGAACCCTAGGAAGAGATGCATTCATTTTTAGTTACCTCACCAGATTGCTAATTTTCACTCTGGAGGCATCAATCACCATAATGACTATAATCCCAGGACGGAGAAGCAGCTATTTTGGCACCAGGGCAGCAGCCCTTGCTGCCACCAAAGATCCTCTGAGGCTCAGGGCCTGGAGAGCCCAGGGAGGAGTCCCACACGGCTCTTTCTGCTGGGCAATCTCAGACTTTAGACCGAGGACACACTGGGAATTCATCCTTTTTTTCTTGGGTGAAAAAACTGGAGTTTTCGGAGGAGCAGTTTCTTTGGAGTTAGTGGCAAGTGTACCGATTAACACAGACCTTTGGCCCCAGCTAACTGGACAGCTGTTTACATGTCTGACTTGTAAACAGAACACCAGCCCCTCTGTTCTCTCCTCTTTTCCTATCAACATATTTCTTGGTTTGCCTCGGGTTTTTTTTTTTTTTTTTTTTTCTCCTGAGGAAAGCCTTACGTTCCTAAAGAATGACCTCAAACAGAAACCAGAGGGTAAAGAAATATCCTCCTCCCAGAGATGGGGGCTAAATATCACTACAAAAAAAAAAAAAAAAAAAAAAAAAAAGCTCTGTATAACTTGTCACTTTGTTTCCTAGACTTGTAATATTCATTAAAAAATTTCTTTTATTTTTAAAGAAAATCGACCTAAATGAAGTCTATAAAATATCCACTAGATCCTGAAGCTCAGTCACTTAAAGGATGATTAGCATTTAAACATTTCACATGACTAAATAAACATGTGAAAATTTCTTACCACTCCCATAGAGGGTGAGGAGGTAGAGATAGGGGAATAAATTCTCTTAACAAGTTCACCTCCTAAGGGTGTCTGATTTTTTTTTCCTTGACATTTTAAAGACAGCCCTTAAAGTGGGAGAGAAAGGAGGAGACTTGACTGTGACAAAAACAGAAAAAGCCTGTTAAGAAGGAATTTTTTTTTTTTTTGCCTACTACCATAAAACTTTGGAGAATTTAGAGCTCAAAGCATCCATTATTAATGTGGATGGCAGGTTGATAGCCTGAAAAGAGGGGAAATTTAAGGTCAGGGACAGTTGGGGCAAAATGGAGGTTGTGCTTGGGCATTGGAAGATAAGGCAGACAAATAAAGGATTGCAACAGGAGGAACGGTCCTGTGAGGTGGCCCTGGCCCCATCCGCCCCCTCCCCTCCCCCAGCTGCCCTCAGCTGACCTGAAGTGTGCTTTGTTTTTTGGTCTCCCAATCACCTGCCCTCCTGTTTAGGCAGCAGAGAGACTGGAGTAAAAAACACAGCTCTGCCACCAGCCATGAGTGTGGCATTAAGAATATTCTAGTTCTTCCTTGATGACTTTCCACTGCCTTTCCGATCCCTAATGATACTTTCCAGAACCTACCTCAGTGCCTGGGCACAAAGTAGATGTTCAGTACATCACTGATGAATTGATTCAAATTTGGAGAAGAGTTTGGGGGGAAAGAGTGAAAAAAAAGAGGGGTATTTCACTACTTCACTCTCTCTGGCTTCTATCCCTCTCAGCAAAGGCCTCAGATGAAAGGGTTTTGGCCACTGGCATGGATGTCTTTCAGCGGGTTCCCAGGTTCTCTGATTAGGTCAGGCCACAGTAGAGCAGTGAAAGCGAAAGTGAAGCCGCTCAGTCATGTCCGACTTTTTGCGACCCCTTGGACTCTACAGCCCACCAGGCTCCTCTGTCCATGGGATTCTCCAGGCAAGAATACTGGAGTGGGTTGCCATGCCCTCCTCCAGGGGATCTTCCCAACCCAGGGATGGAACCCAGGTCTCCTGTGTTGCAGGTGAATGCTTTTACCATCTAAGCCATCAGGGCAGCCCCAAGCAAACCATTCTGATTTTGGCTTCCAGAGCAGAGGCATTTCCCCTAAGGTCCCAGCAGAAAAAGTCAGGGCTGTCTTGCTTGCAGCAACACCATTTTGTTTTGGTGACAGGAAGTCCAGTGGTTCTTCTCACCAACTTCCCCAAGGATGCCATCTATCAACTCCACACACTTATGTTCTTTCTGTCCTTCTCCATCTAGACTAGGATTGCCCAGCAACTCAAGACTTTCTTCTCTGTTTCCTAATTTCCCCCAACCCCCAAGTTCTTATCCCAATGCCAGCAGCTGGGACCAGTCTCTGGGACAAAACAGAAATAATGTGGGAATTGTGGTGAGAGTTGAACATATACGTCAGTCTAGGAATAGGCATAAAAGCAAAGCCCTTGTTACTATTGGATTGGGGTGGGAAATCATTTCTTATCCATGATGGGTGGTGGTAGTGATTAAGCATAAGCTCTTTGTTTCAATATTTTAAATATTGTCTTGTGAAGGCAGGTTATTTACTGGGAACCACCAATAGCTGTATTTAAGAAGCCAAATGGAGGCTGTCCAAGGAAAGTAATATAATACTGATGAGCAATTAATTATACCTGGTATAATATTTCTTTCTTTTTGTTTTATTTGGCCGCACCCTGCAGCACATGGGATCTTAGTTTCCCAGATGGAACCCACACCCCCTGCAGTGGAAGCACAGAGTCTTAACCATTGGACTGCCAGGGAAGTCCTTATCTGGTATAATATTTGGAAATATATTCAAAGGACAGTCCAGAATATATCCAAATATATTCAACGTGAATTAATTCACTTTTGTTTTTTGGCCACACTGTGTGGCTTGAGGGATCCTTGCTCCTGGACCAGGGGTTGAACCCAGGCCCTTGGCACTGAAAGCAAGGGGTCTTAACCACTGGACTGCCAGGGAATTCCCAGAATTAATTCACTTAAAAATTATTTATTTTTTATTGAGGTATAATTGATGTACATTATTATGTAAGTTTCAGACGTACAACATAGTGATTCACAGTCATAATTTTTTAAGGTTATAGTCTATTTATAGTTATAAAATATTGGCTATATTTCCTGTGTTATACAATATACCCTTGTAAGAATAAACTCACTTAAAAAATATTTTTTGGAATACAGTTAATTTACTATGTTGTGTTAGTTTCAGGTGTGCAGCGAAGTGAATCAGTCACACATATACCCACTGTTTTTTAGATTCTTTTCCCTGCGCTATATAGTAGGCCCTTATTAGTTATCTGTTTTATATATAGTAGTGTGTACATGTCAATCCCAATCTCCCAATTTATCCCTCCCTGCCGTGAACTCACTTTTATGCTACATTTGGTTCAGTGTCTTTCATGGGGAGAGAGAGGAAGATTCCACATGCCTCTGTGTTTGGACTATCAATTTATCAGTATCTATGTACTTAATGTTCTCCTCTGGCTTCAAAAAGCATCCCTTGGTATTACAGGGTTTATGTGTACTGCATAAGAAACTTTGACTTCTGAAAATTTGTACTTAATGGCATATACAAATAAAGTCAATGTTTTCTTGTTACTACTTACTATTGAGATGTGTGTTCAATAATTCCCCCCCACATTAAAAAAGTTCTTGTAGTTATCCTATAGTACTGTTACCAGTACTACATATTATGGTTCTGTAGCTTTTTTTTCCCTCAGAGCTTTTAAAACAAAACAAACTCCATGTTTTCTTTCCCCATCCAGTTAAATATTGGAGGAAAGCAGAACATAAACGTATATGTATATTTTGAAAGGCAAAGAAGCACAAAGAAAAGAATTCAGTAGAATAAGCCCCAGGTAACCCTGCTCCAAGCTGGCAAGTTGAGCTTGTTGAATCAGGTGCAAGATTTTCCATCCCATTCATGTGGGAACAGAGGAATAGAAAGGGGAGTGGGAAGAACACAGAGGGTACAGTGCTGATCCTTACCATCCTGGAAACATGGAGCTCTTGGAAGTGATGAGAACTACAGTGAGGTGATGAAAGAACAGAGTTCAAAGATGCAGTAGTGTAATGTACCCTGAAGCTAAAAGCAAAAGGGTCTGAATCCCCCCCTTTTGATGAGAAGGCCATTAAGAAGCACTTGGGGGTGCCTCCTGCTTCCTCGTTCACCATGCAGAGCGGTGGGGTGTGGGAAATCCTCACCTCACCATGTTGTGGCTGCTGCTGTTCAGTTGCTAAGTTGTGTCCAACTCTTTGCGACGCCACGGGCAGTCACCCCCCAGACTCCTCTGTCCATGGGATTTCCCCGGCAAGAATACTGGAGAGGGTTGCCATTTCCTTCTCCAGGGAATCTTCCAGACCCAGGGATCGAATCCGTGTCTCCTACTTGACAGGCGAATTCTTTACCACTGAGCCACTTGGGAAGCCCCTCACCTCACCATACGTTGTCACAAAGGAAAAGGGGACCTGAAGCAGAAGCTGGGAGACCTGAGCTCACTGACTTTGGGTTCACAGCACAGCTGATATTTGAGGGAACTTCTGAGAGGACTGAGTGTATTAGCGTCTGGAAAACTGGGGGTTGAGAAGTGGTGTTCACAGCAGAGGAGCCAGGTGGCTCTCTGGTGTCTGAGTTTGGGGATCTATGCTTGACAGACTTGATGGGGACCACTATCTCAACTTTAGGATTATAGCAACTGCCATTGTACTGTGTTTATGAATCAGGATCCTTGTATAGTTATCTCCTTTGGTCATCACCTAAACCCAGTTAGAGCAATATTATCCAAGTTTACAGATGAGAAAACTAAGGCCCAAGAGATTAAGGTCACTCAGCTAGGGAGTGGGAGTATCAGTTTTCTTCATCTGTAAAGTGAGTTAATGACAGAACCAGGCTCCATCGCCTGCTGATTTGTTACAGAATCGCTTGGAATAGTGAAGATCCGAGCAGATGCAAAGCCCCAGGAATACAGGGGTCTCCTGTTAAGCCAACCTTGCCTTTTCCAGAGTTGAATTCAGGTTCGTTTTTTTTTCAAGACTTCTCAAGCGCAGGCGCGGCGGGTGTGTGAGGGGATGGCGGGGGAGGAGACGGGAGGAGGTGGCGGCGCCCCACTCCTCTGCTCGCCCTGCGCAGGCCACGGTCGCCCTCTGCCGACACAGGGCGGAAGAGCGTGGAGAGTGTATGTTTTCGTGCCTGAAAGCCGGCCAAGAAGCTTACCGACCTATAGAGGGCGCCGGTCAGCGTGCTGAGTAACCCATTCAGCTGTCCCTTCCTCGAGCACGTCTTGTCTGATCTCTATGATCCATCCGGTTACGTCAAGAAAAGTTCCTGGAGCTTTCGATTTATCGTAAACAAAAGAGAGGCGCACCGACCCGGAAGTTGAAACTGGAGCGGGGGCGGGAGTAGCTCGGAGGGTCGGCAGTGAGGGGGCCAGGTGGGAGTAGCCCCGAAGGCCCGCTGTGAGGGGCCGGGGGAAGCCGTAGCCATGGCTGTGGCTGTGGCCATGGCGGGAGCCGTACCCGGGACAGAGCTAGGCCCTGCGGAAGAACTCGCCAAACTCGAGTATCTGTCTTTGGTGTCAAAGGTTTGCACCGAGTTGGACAATCACTTGGGTATCAACGACAAGGATCTGGGTGAGTCTGCGGAGGTCCGTGCGGCCTCTGGGTTTGGGTTCGAGGAAAGCGGAAGGAGACAGGGGATTTGATGGGCCGAGCGTGTGGGTCCGTGTGTCTGTCACAGAGACTTGGCCCGGGGCGCCTGCGGCCGTGGCCCCCTCTTGAGAGTTCTCCAGGCCAAACTGTTAGAAAGCTTTCCCCAGAACGTCAGTGAAACCCGGAGCGGCCGTCGCTGCTTGCTTCCCCCTTTGCCCCACCCCCAGCCCCAGATAATTAAACAGCATTAACAGCAACAACGTAGAGTCACATAATGATGATGGTGATGATGATGTTGATTTTCATGGCAGCCACTTACTGAGTTCTCACTACGTGCCAGATATTATGCTTAGTGTTTTACTTTATCTTATTTGCTCTTCATAGCACCCTGTGAGATAGTATTTTCTGTTTATAGATTAGGAAAACAAGGCTCTGAGTAATTAAGTAACTCTCTTCAAGGTCACAGATCAAATGTGTGTGAGCCTGGTTTGGAATCCAAGTCTGTAACTTTAATTATGCTCGTCACCATGCTTATACTGTCTCTGAAGCACCAATGTGTAGTGTCTCTCAAACACTAGACGTCTTGGGACAAAATGCACATGCGGAGAATACAAACTGAGGAAATGGAGAAGACTAGGGCCCCACAGCTCAGGCTGCAGGCAGGTGGAATCCTTGTGGAGGCAGAGGGATGGATGGGGTCTAGGGCATGGGTGGAGGAATTGACTTGATAGGCACGGGGATGCTTCATTTTAACCGGAAGGAGGACAGAATGCGATTTTAAATGCAGATGGGTTTAGGAGTAGGTGGTAGGGAGATGAGGGAGAGAGTTCCCATTTGACAGTTCTGTTTTCTAAATGAAGATAAACTCATCAGTTGGAGAGATGGAAGAAAGGGACACATGCGTGAGGAAGAGGGGTCAGGGAGGTTAGAAATATGATCTAGGGTAAGATGCTGCTGTTTTTTCTTACCTGTGAAATAGGGATGATACTGTGTTCTTTACAGGGTTACCATGTAGCACCTGTGTATTGTAGTTCACTTTTCTCTTGCCTGTCTTCAAGATGTGCCTATCTTGTGTAATTTTTTCTCAGTTTACTCTTTTTTTGATAATGAGGTTATAGACTGGTCAGTTTGCTGTCTCTCTGGGTAATATGTTCCTTCATTCAGCAAATGTTCATTGAGCTGGGGGATTAGGAATAGAGTACAAGATAGATTCCCTCAGTGGGCTTATATTGTTTTCCTCTCTTTTAAACTAGAGTACGAATGCCTTAGCCCTTTTTAGAGGAAACAAAAAGTTCTTGGGACCAAACTGCCCCACCTCCACCTCCACAGGCCACTTGGAAGTCCAGGTTGTCACCTGCTATAGATTGGAGGTTTCAATGATCCCCTCCTTGGGTTTGATTAATTTATTAGAGCGGCTCACATAACTCAGAGACACATTTTACTAACTGATTTATTGTAAAAGGATGTAACAGCTAATTGGAAGGTATGTAACAAGGAGAGGAGCTCCCATGCTCTCTGAGTGCCCCACTCTCCCTGAACCTCCATGCATTCACCAACTTGGAAACTCTCCAAATCCTGTCTGGGTATTTATAGAGGCCTCATTGTATGAGCACGCGTGCATTAAATAGGCACAGCTTGAATTGTATAGGCACAGCTGATTAAGTCATTGGCCATTGATGATGTTGTTCAGTTGCTTGTTCAGTTGCTAAGTCATGTCTGACTCTTTGCGACCCCATGGACTGCAGCATGCCAGGCTTCCCCATCCTTCACTGTCTCCCAGAGTTTGCTCAAACTCATATCCGTGGATGAGTGATGCCATCCAACCATTGATGACTAAACTCAGTCTCTAGCCTTTCTCCCCTTCCAGAGATCAGGGTGGGGCTGAAAGTTCCAGCAGTCTAATCTCTTGATTGGTTTCCTTGACAACTAACCCTCATCCTAGTTACCTAGGGGCTTTCCTATGGTTATCTCAGAAAAGTAAAAAAAAAGTAATAACTTATTCTCTGCATTTAGGAAATTCCAAGGGTTAGGAGCTCCACTCCAGGGATGGAAACCAAATATGTGTTTCTTCTTATAAATCACAGTATCACACTGTTAAACACAGATTTATGGAACCAGTAACATTAAAAATAGTAATATAGGAAAAGTGTGATTGCCAGAGTTGGTTTTAGTAACAAAAAAGCTAAATTGCCAGAGTTGGTTTTCATAACAGAAAGTTATATATTTATTTCTTGTGTGTTTTACTTGTTGACTTGGTTTTTAAATTTTGACCTTGATGTATTATCATTTAAATCAGTGTCATTATTTTTCCTGTTTTCAACAATGAGCTTGTTTTTAATTACTGATTCATTTTTGATAGTTCAGTTATATGATGTCCTCATATAATTCTGAAAATTAAAAATAAATCCTCATTAATGACAGCTACAGTGTGAATGCTGGTAACTGCTTTAGGGTTGGCTCTTTTGAGCATTGTATGACTAGCACCATGTGATTTAGTTCTCTGTCCACATTCTCTAAAGAATTTGGGCTCTGAAATCAGATTTCTGGATTCCAGTTCTGGTTCCACCAGTTATTTTTGGGTAGGTCATTGCCTCAAACCCTCAGCCTCCTCATTTGTGAAACAGGGACAATAGTACTACCTACCTGTAAGAGTTCTGTGAGAACCATGGGAGTAAACCATGTGAAGCACTTAGCATAGTGCCTGGAATGTAGTAGATGTTTGAGAAGTCTTAACCATTGGCACTGTTGTTATTAACTTGTTATTAAATAAAAACCTGATGGCATCTGGCTTCCACTTAACATCATAAAAAAGGTAAAGGCAAATTTCAGCATGGAAATGGTATGTGGTACTAGTTTATAAGTTGGTTATCTAGATCTTCCATGTTATCATTATTATTTTTTAGGATTAAAATCCAAGTGAAGGGAATTGCCTGGTGGTCCAGTGGTTAGGGCTCCATACTTTCCTTACCTAGGACCTGGGTTCAATGCTTGGTTGGGAAACTAAGATCTTGAAAGCCATATGGCATGACCAAAAAAAAAGTCCAACTGAAATCATTAGAAATTGAGGCTATTTTCTCAATCTGTCGTAAAATGCACTTTTGTCCTGAAAGTCTCTTAATTAATAAATAGTTCTTATGTTGGAAATTTTGAGAACATAGGCAGGTTTGTGAAATTTGGGGGTGGGGAGCAAGTGAGTCTTTCACCAACTTGGATATTGTACCACCCGGCGACTGCCTGGCCCTCATATATATTACAGATCATGTGTGTCCTTTCAGAAATTGTAGAAAGCATCCTATTGTGTCCATGTGTGCATGCCTGTACACATGTGCGTCGGCTCATGACCTTGGACATGCATGCCTCTAGCATCTGTATGGCGGAGTGCATACCTAGTAGTTTCGTGAAGAGTACAGTGATCTGCGACAAGGAGGTCTTCCTCTCTCAAATGCACTCACAGGCCTGGTGATCCATGTCTTCTTTTTATTTATGAAGATTAACTAGGCCATACATGGATAATCTTGGTAATCTAAATTCTTTCTCTACTCTTACTGAATGGTGCTTTTTGGTTTTTATGAAGACTGAAGACTGTTGGATAACCAAGCTGGTTTTATTTTTAACATACTTGAAACTGATTTCTTCCTAAAGTCTCCATTCTCCTGGTTTTAATCCCTTTTCTCATTTGCAGCTGAATTTGTGATCAGTCTTGCTGAGAAAAATACCACCTTTGATACTTTCAAGGCTTCACTGGTCAAAAATGGTGCAGAATTCACGGTATGTGTACATAGAGACCCGTGTTTTGTTTTAATATCACTGTTCGATTTAAATTTTGATAGTACATACCAATAAAGTGAACCATTAAGTATATGATGTTTTCATGCCACTAAGCAGTGGTGATACAACTGAATTGCCTGTGACACCTTTCTAGAAAAATGGGGCAGAATTTCCATTATTAAATCTTTATGAGTGCTTACATTTTTGTTCTGTGAATCAGGAAGTCAAAAACAAGAGTCTAGGTGTGAAAAGTAGTTCTAAACCATGGGAAATAAAATAGTTGAAGGGAACTAAGTTACATCCCTGCAAAGAGTTATAAATATCAGTTTTCTCTGAGGCTACGTTGCTAGGTTCGGGCCACATCAGGTTGACACTCTGCTTTATTTGTCCTTGAATTTGCTAAATTCAGGTGCATTACCACTTTTTCTAAAGAACACCCCTTTTCTTAGTGTTTGTAAGCTCTGATCCAAGAGCTGACAATCTTTGTTCTGTTTCTTTTCAAAGGATTCTCTCATTAGTAACTTGCTGCGTCTCATACAAACCATGCGGCCTCCAGCAAAGCCTTCTACTAGCAAAGGTGAGCAGAGCTTCTAGCCAAGCTTCGACTCCAGTATGGTTTAGGTTGTGAGCATCCTGTAAATTGCATTTGTTTACCTTCTTGCAGCTGCTGAACAAGTAGAGTAAAGTAATGACATAACCAATCAAATGCATACTGACTCACACTCCCCATCCCCATGCCAGTATAGTTGTTGAGGGTTTTGTAATCAGTTTTTTTTTTAGGAAGTTGAATTATGGTTATAGTATAAGAGTAATATGTAGAAAAATGTTTTCAGTTTGATGCAAATCTAATGTTGAAGTTCTTCTGTTAATCACTAAGAATGTTAATTATGTCTTTTTTTTTTTTTTTTTACCCTTTCATGCTTTTATTGTATTAAGATCCAGTTGTTAAGCCCAAAACTGAAAAAGAAAAGCTGAAGGAACTCTTCCCAGTCCTTTGCCAACCAGACAACCCTTCTGTTCGGGTACTGATACCATTTTGAGCTTGTCTGCTGCAGCTACATGTCCCCCCACTTCACCCCTTTTCTCTGTCTCATTAGTTATTAATTTTAAGTTTGCCTTCACTGTAGCATATTAGTATTTTTTCAAAGTAAAAGTGTTTGGCCACTCCCTGAGCACGTACTGTGTATAGAGTAGTGTTAAAGGGTTCAGAGAATGATATTCCAGGGAAATGAGATTGGTAATTGTGGGAAGCAATGATTAAGGGATATGGAATAGGTATGAAATAACTTAAAGTTCTGAAACAACTGCCCGTTGTGCAAAATTAGATTTTTTTCTTTGTTACATATTGTGTGTATGTGTTCGGTCTTGTCCGGCTCTTTTTGACCCCATGGACTGTAACCAACCAGTCTCCTCTGTCCATGGAATTTTCCAGGCAAGAATACTGGAGTGGCTTGCCTACTCCAAGGGATCTTCCCTGACCCAGGGATCAAACCTGCATCTCCTTCATTGGCAGGCAGATTCAAAGTGTTTTGATTTTTTAATTTCGCTAGTAGCTACTATATGCCAAGCTGTTATAACTATCAGGGTACAGTGGTGAATGGTGAACAAAATAGACTAGAGTGTCTGCCCTCTTGGACGTTACACCCTGGTACTGGGGCAGGGAATGAACATGTAAACTCCTCTAGTGGGGAGGAGACAGGCAATACCCAAGTAAATAGATGATATAGCTGATAGCAATGAGAACTATGAAGAAAAATAAAGAGATGAAAGAGGGAAGGGAGTATAGAGGGAGAGTGCTGTGTAAAAATTTTGATGTCTACTTTCTGTTCATAATCACCACTTGCATGCTTTCATGGAAGGGGTGGTACCTAATTGCCACCATAAGGCTTGTATTAAGGACAAAGGGGATTTGCCAGGTGTGGAAATGACTTCCAGGAGCCTTTGCTCATTCCTTCTCCCTCTGTCTCAAATTGTGTTGCAAATCTCTGCCCCCTCTGCTTCTCTCACATTAGTGGTCAGAACTGTAGGGACTGTTAGATTTGCAGATGACCCTGAAATAGATTCTTGAGAGTGGATTTTTCTCGTCCCCTTTTCTCCTGACGTGGCTGCCTCTGTCTCTGTAGACCATGCTGGACGAGGATGACGTGAAAGTTGCTGTGGATGTCCTGAAAGAACTGGAGGCCTTGATGCCCAGTGCAGCAGGCCAGGAGAAGCACAGAGACTCTGAGCACCGGTTTGTCCCTAACGTCTTGTCCTTTGCAAGTTTAGGATGTAGTGATAGTTGAATTGTGGACCAGCCAAGCGAAACTCTGGGCGAATTTACAGAATCTAGACTGGCCACGTACCATACTGTTGGATCTATTTTCATTCCTCCCTGGTGAGAGTGTTTAAGCAGCAAGTGCTGAGATGTTCAGAAGATAGAAATCTGGGTTGAAAGAGGGCTGAATACATTTGTGGTCTCCTCTGTTATTGGCCTGCAGGGATATCAGTCATAGTCATTGAAACTCCAGTTCAGCATTCAGTGGGTACCTTCCATATGCATGGCACTGTGTTAGGTACTTGGGAAGGCGAGGATGGAATTGGGCTGGTTTTGTTTTTCAAACAAGTATTTGTTGCTAGGGACAAGGCCAAGAAAAAGAAGCGCAGCCGGAGCCGAGAGCGAGACCGTGACCGTGACCGTGACCGCGAGCGAGAACGAGAACGTGATAGAGACCATAAGCGGAGACACCGGTCCCGCTCTCGATCACGTTCCCGAACCCGGGACAGGAATAAGGGGAAGTCTAGATACCGGTCCAGAAGCAGAAGTCAAAGTCCCCCCAGAGATCGGAAAGACCGAGACAAGTATGGGGAGCGGAGTCTGGACAGATGGCGGGACAAGCACGTGGACCGCCCTCCCCCAGAAGAGCCCGCCCTCGGGGACATTTACAATGGCAAGGTCACCAGCATCATGCAGTTTGGATGCTTTGTGCAGCTGGAGGGACTGAGGTAATGACGCCAGCAAAAGGCAGAATTTCTTTTATCACTGGGGATTTTCATATTTTAAAAAGTGACTGTGTCAGGTTGTTAGAAGTTGACCTTTTATTTGAACTGTCATAGAGCCATTTATTCCTTCCTCTGACTTCAGGAGATCCGCCCTTTTGCTCGTTGACACAGATGAGAATTTGTTGCCCCCACCTCCACCCTAGCCCCCAACTTTTTCTTTGGGAAGGTGGTAATTCTAGTTTATTGTTTGGCCAGTTTCTTGGAACTTTGCTCTTGAGTTTAAGACCCATTTCCCTTTGTTCATTTCCAACAAGGGTGGAAAATGGTTGGGGGAAAGGTATTTTAGGAATGTTCCTGATATGTCTGACTCCCTCAGGAAGCGGTGGGAAGGCCTGGTGCACATCTCTGAGCTCCGGCGGGAAGGCCGGGTGGCCAATGTGGCTGACGTGGTGAGCAAAGGCCAGAGGGTCAAGGTCAAAGTGTTGTCCTTCACCGGGACCAAAACCAGCTTGAGCATGAAGGTAGGTGAGATATGCAGCTGGTTTCCACATCTGATGGTCAAGGAGGCATAAGAGAATGGCAAGTAAGCTCTCTCCCTTGTTTTTGTGCCTTAGGATGTGGATCAAGAGACCGGAGAAGATCTAAACCCGAATCGACGGCGGAATCTTGTCGGGGAGACCAACGAGGAGACCTCTATGAGGAATCCCGACAGGCCCACCCACCTGTCCCTCGTCAGTGCCCCTGAAGTAGAGGATGACTCACTAGAGCGCAAGCGCCTTACCCGCATCTCTGACCCAGAGAAGTGGGAGATCAAGCAGGTTGGGGCCCTTTGCTTTTATGGCCACGGTCACTCAGGGTGTAGCAGGATGGTTACGGGGGTGGACCCTGGAGCACGACGGCCTGGGCTGACTTCAGACCACTCGGCTTATCATCCTCAGCCAAGTTATACTACCTCTTTGTGCCTCAGAACCCCCATCTGTAAAACAGGGCCAGTGTTGGCATTGTGGGGATTAAATGAGTTAGCAGAAGTGATGTTCTTAGATTAGTGCCTGCATGTGGTAAGTGCTGTTTGAATGATCGTTCTTGTTGTCATCATTTGTCAGTAAACATCAAAATCCCAGTGTTCCAGGTCACTGTGTGAAAACTAGGGCTGTGAGGATAAATATATCATGGTTCCTACCCTTGAGGAACTCCGGGTCCAGTGAAGCAAATAACTGGGAAGGTTTACCTTCTACAGAATATGGAATGTGCAGAGTGCTGTGGAGTCAGGGAGCAGATAACATGTCCTGGGAATGCGACTCTTGAGCTGTGCTTTTGGGCGCAATGTTGTGCCCCCAGGGGTAGAATATATGGTGTTTGAGGCCCTGCAGTCTTGGGTATGCAGAGGAAAAAACCTTGGTTTCCTACATGAAGTCTTTGTATAAAGTCAAAACAAGAGTGTTGATCTAGCAGGCAACAAATGTTTCCTTTTATCCTTTGGCTAGATGATTGCTGCCAATGTTCTTTCCAAGGAAGAGTTCCCAGACTTCGATGAAGAGACTGGCATTCTCCCTAAAGTGGATGATGAAGAAGGTAAACAGCCATTTAGATGGAGCAGGATAATGGATTGGGAGGACAGTTGGCAAGTTCAGCTATGGATAGGGTTTATTTGTAGTTTAAACCAGTGGTTAAACTCATCTGTTTCTTGGGTCTCACAGCTCTTCTCTCAAAGAACAAGAGTCCTTTCATGATGGAGGGGAAAAAAACCTCATTTTTCTGATAAATGTTTAGATATTGCTATACTTGTTCCTTATGATCAGTTTTTAGGATATAAGGTGCTTAAATCAGTTTTTAAGATACAAGAAGTTCTAGTATTTTGGGGAGTGAATTTGATCTCATATTTTTAGTAATTGTTCTCTAAACCTTGGATCCACCTAGGTTACCTCTGAGTTGCCATGGAAACAATTTTTAAGCTTAGCGTATTGGCAATTTTTTTTTTTAAATTGTGAAATTCCTTAATGAAGTGTATATGATTTATATAACAATAACAAATGAAAACCTGTGTACCTGACACCCAATTCAGTTCAGTTCAGCCACTCAGTCGTGTCCTACTCTTTGTGACCCCATGAACCGCAGCATGCCAGGCGTCCCTGTCCATCACCAACTCCTGGAGTTTACCCAAACTTATGTCCATTGAGTTGGTGATGCCATCCAACCATCTCATCCTCTGTCGTCCCCTTCTCCTCCCACCTTCAATCTTTCCCAGCATATCTTAGTTTTCTGAATGTTGAGCTTTAAGCCAACTTTTTCACTCTCCTCTTTCACTTTCATCAAGAGGCTGTTTAGTTCTTCACTTTCTGTCATAAGAGTAGAACTTTATCAGCACCTTTGAAGCCCTTACCTGTTCGCTCTGATTAGACCTTTCTCCTTCCTCTTCTGGGTAATCACCATCCTCAATTTTACCTTATTTCCTGGTTTTCTTTAGCATCTTATCACCTATCTATCCCTAAACACTGTATTGTTTAGTTTGTTTTTGAACTTCCTTTTTTTTCTTGAGTCACCATTATTCTTCAGTATATATCTATGTTGATTTTTGTAGTTAAATTTCATTTTTTTCACTGCTGTAGAGTTTTTCTGTATGTAAAGTTGCCAAAATTTATCCATTTTACTTTTGATGGGCATATGGGCTGTTTTCTGGGGTTTTTTTGTTTGCCTTTTGAAAATTTTTATTATGAAATTCCTGTACTTGTCTCTTAATTGCATGTGTGCAAGACTGTCTCTTTTTCCTGAATATGTAGGAGGAGAATTACTAGGTAGCAGGACATGTATGTGTTCAACTTTACCAGGCAGTCCCCATTGTTTTCTAAAGATTTTGTGCCAATTTACAATACTACTATAAGTGTAAGTGAGTTTCTGTTGCTCTACATCCTTGCCAACATTTGATGTTATCCAACTAAACTTTCCCCCTTGCCCCCATCTATTGTGGGCTAAGAGTTGTTATTCCACATGAAGTTGAAAGGCCGATACCTTAGTACTATTTAGAATATCAGACAACAATTTTCCGTAGGCTTAACTTCTTTTGAAAGAAGCTCTGATTCGTTCTTAGGCTGGAGCGCAAATGCCTTTGAAATGGCTGGTGGGCAGGGTAGACAGTCACCCACGTTAGCGTTTCGAGAGCTATCTTTGATAAAGATTGCTGATGCCTGTGGAAATTAATGGTTTATGTGAGAACAATGGGTCATTTATGTCTTTTGTTTTTGGCTAATTTTTCTTTTGGGGGATTTTCAGATGAGGACCTTGAGATCGAGCTGGTTGAAGAAGAGCCTCCATTTCTTCGAGGGCACACCAAGCAAAGCATGGACATGAGCCCTATCAAGATCGTTAAGGTGAGAAACGCTGGGACTCTAGCCTGGATGTGTCACATGAACTGCTTTTCCTAAAGTGACGATTCAGTTTTTCAGAGCAGGCTACTGGATCTGCGGAAGCAGAACTCAGGCCACAGGAGGCAGCAGTGACTGTTGGTTGGGGTCTAGAATGTTTTTGTTATAGAGGAAGATTGACTTGACTTTGTTGTTTTTGCCTTTTAAATTCTTACAGTCTCATTTTAGTGTGTTTTGGGAGGAAGCAGAGATAAACATGAGTGCTGGACCTATTACCACTGCCTTTGTCCAGGCTTTAGGGCTTGAGTCATCACCTTACAGGTTCAAGGGCAATTGTTAACGGATCACTTGATCAATTGGGATTCCCGGTTGAAAGCTATAGTACTAGATGTTGTGTAGGGTAGAGCTGTGAGCAGAATTCATGGAATTGTTGTGATAAAATTTGGGGTTTGGAAGAAGGTATCTTCAAAGGCCCAACTGTTGCTTGTAATCCAACCGTATATCCTCTGCAGTTCGTCTCAGATGGTCTTCTCATGTCTGCTTGACAGTGTTGGGGACAGGGAATTCACCAGCTCTTGAGGAGACCCATTGCATCCCCAGATGGATCTGATCAGTAGACTTCTTTAGATAGAGCTAAATATGTCTTATTGAGGCATCTACATTGGTCTTAACTTTAGTTCTTAGGATTATACACAAGAATATGGCTTCTCTCTTGGGGTTCTCATCTTCAAGCCCCAAATCCCCAATTCTTTGAATGATTTATTGCTGTCCTTGTTCATGTTCTTTGAATATGGTACAGTTGATCCACTTCTTTCATGGAGTCTAATATGTTGATATGAAGTTTCTTCTGGGTGAGTCTCTCTTTTAGATTTGAGTGGCTTTTTTATTTCTGGATATTCAGTGCATGCTGAGACCCCGTTCTGCTGTTGCCTTGTCCTCTGTCGCACTAGAATCCAGATGGCTCCCTCTCCCAAGCAGCGATGATGCAGAGTGCCTTGGCCAAAGAAAGGCGGGAACTTAAGCAAGCACAGCGGGAAGCTGAGATGGATTCTATTCCCATGGGACTCAACAAACACTGGGTTGATCCTCTGCCTGATGGTAGGACTCTGGGGGTAGGCGGGTATGTGGACTTAAAGAAAAATCTGAACCTTCAAATATACAGGGAAAGGGTACTGTCATCACACAGCTGAAGATTTAGCCTTGACTTTGGTGATTCAGTTTTTCCCTTCAGTTAGAGCAATGTTTTTGTTTGTTTTGTTTTTTCAATGTTTTTGTGACTGTGGTCAAATCATTAGATTGGCTGTTTTCTTTTGAATAACTTAAAACTTTTTATTCTAAAGATAATACAGCTCTGAAACTTCTCTTTTCACGTAATTTTTTGTGTAGTAAATATTAACTGACTGTTGGATACAGTCATAACAAATACTGTTTGTGTTAAGTAGGTGGGGATACAGCTGTGAAGAAGACAGACATGGTCCCTGCTCTTATGAGGTTTACAGTTTGGTGGGGAAGTTGGATATTAACCAAATAATTACCAAATTACTAATTAGTTAAATCACAAACCAGTGCTAGATAAGAAGTAGAGGTGTGGTTGGCTATTGTGGGTCACTTCCCTGGGAAGACAAAGGCCTGAAGAATAAATAGGATTTAGTCTGTCCATCGGAGAAGGCAGTGGCAACCCACTGCAGTATTCTTGCCTGGAAAATCCCATGGACGGAGGAGCCTGGTAGGCTGAAGTCCTTGGGGTTGCTGAGTTGGACATGATTGAGCGATTTCACTTTCACTTTTCACTTTCATGCATTGGAGGAGGAAATGGCAACCCACTCCAGGGTTCTTGCCTGGAAAATCCCAGGGACAGCAGAGCCTGGTAGGCTGCCGTCTATGGGGTTGCACAGAGTCAGACATGACTGACTTGACTTAGCAGCAGCAGCAGTCTGTCCATGGGGATGACATGGGGGTTGGGCAGTATGTTCCAGGCTGAGGAATAACCTGTGCTGAGGCTGTGATGTCTGAAAGAAAACCTGTGTGGCTGTAACAGAGTGATGGGTGGAGTTCACGGGGGTGGGGGTGAGATGTGGCCGCCAGGATTTTGTAGATGGCATTAGGAATTGGGGCTCAGTCCTGGTGTTCACTGGGAAATGGTGCAAAGTTCTAAGCGGGGGAGTAGCAAGATCAGAATGGAATTTCCAAAGGATTATTGAGGGTACCCTGCAGAATTGAATTGGATGGGTTAAGAGTAAATAAATGTGGTGAATTAGGAGGCTTTTATAATAGTTCAGAGGAGAGATGATGGCTTAAAGACAGGATGCAGAGAGGAGGAATGTACTGGAGAAATGTGATCTGTTGAGGGTTGGGAAGGGACAGTGAGGTTGATAAGTCACCTGTTTTCCTTCACAGCGGAAGGCAGGCAGATTGCTGCTAACATGAGGGGTATTGGGATGATGCCCAATGACATTCCCGAGTGGAAGAAGCATGCCTTTGGGGGCAACAAAGCTTCATATGGAAAAAAGACCCAGATGTCAATCATTGAACAGAGGGAGAGCCTGCCCATCTACAAGCTGAAGGAGCAGCTGGTCCAGGTGAGAAACTCTTTATGACATGTTGGTGGGGAAATCAGGGTGTTTTCTAAAAATGACATGTCTTAATTGAAATCAGTGCATTTGAAGTGGCTTTTCTGAAGGGAGTAGGAAAAAAAACAGTATTTCCAACTACTTTAAAAAAACACATATAAATTAGTCTACATTTTTTTTCTATGAGGAAATAAAATCTATTTGAACTGGGGTTCCCTGGAGCAATTACAAGTGGACAGAGTATTGTGTTGAGTAAGAAAAATGGGGATGCTTGACTTCCCATTGAGGCAAGTCTTTGCTTCAGGTACTTATTTCCATTTTCTTGCCATCTGATTTAAGATCATGAAACCTTCGTTTCCAGCAAATCCTTGCAATGATCTCTTATACAAACAAGTACAAATGTATGTATGTACATACACACACAGGTATCGTACGTTTTATATGAACCATGTGTGTTTCTAGATGGCAGCATATTATATATACTGTTTTATATTTTGCTTTTTTCCCCCTCAGTGACACAGCTCAGCATTGTTCCCTATTTTTCTTTTAGTGCTTTGTTATGTGGGTGTACTGTGGCTTATTTAACTAGTCCTGTGTTAATAGACATGTAGGTTGATGGCAATCCTTTGCTGTTATAAACAGTATAGAAATGAAGTGACTCTAGGGGGTAAGGTACTGGAGATTTGAGAATGACAGTAGAAACGAACTCTATATTTAGCTTTTCTATTTGCTACTGAATTCTTTAATCATGTACATATAATTCTTGAAAAAACATATATGTATATAAAATATCAGGGTGAGCTGGATAGTTTATGCTTCTAGCATCATTGTATTTTTATGAGTTTAAGGAAAACAATACATTTTTAAATAATTAAGTCAGTTTAAAGAAAAAAAAGAGTACTCATGGAATTCTCTGATGGTCCAGTGGTTAGGACTCCATGCTTTCACTGCAGGGGGCCCAAGTTTTATCCCTGGTTGGGGAACTCGGATGTTGCATGCTTCTTGGAGCATCCAAAAATGTAAATAAATTGAAAAGTTTAAAGTTTTTAATTTGTTATGCATGTGTGTGTGCGCAGTTGCTACAAGTCATGTCTGACTCTCTTGTGACCTCATGGACTGCAGCTTTCCAGGCTCCACTGTCTGTGGGATTTCCCAGGCAAGAATACTGGAGTGGGTTGCCATTCCCTTCTCCAGGGGATCTTCCTGACCCAGGGATCGAACTGCATCTCCTGCATTGGCAGGCAGATTCTATACCACCGAGCCACCTGGGAAAGTGTTGAAAGTGAAAGTGTTAGTTACTCAGTCGTGTCCGACTCTTTGTGACCCCGTGGACTGTAGCCTACCAGGCTCCTTTGTCCATGGCATTTTCCAGGCAAGAATACTGGAGTGGGTAGCCATTTCCTTCTCCAGGGAATCTTCCTGACCCACATCTCCTGCATTGCAGGCAGATTCTTTACCTACTAAGCTAAAAAAGAACATCACCCATAGAAAATCACCATTAATATTTTTTTCTATGCATACTTAAAAATTTAAACCCTGGTTGTCATCTTACACATGTGCACCACTGTTTCCCGTTTTTCTCCTTTAGTGTTAGAACTTAATCAATTTTTTTACTCCAGAGTAATGTTCGGCAGATTTTAATGGCCTTACTTACATTTGGTTGCTTTCAGGCTGTCCATGACAATCAGATCCTGATTGTTATTGGAGAGACAGGGTCTGGGAAGACCACGCAGATCACCCAGTACCTGGCGGAGGCGGGCTACACTTCCAGGGGCAAGATTGGATGTACCCAGCCTAGACGAGTAGCGGCCATGTCTGTGGCCAAAAGAGTGTCAGAGGAGTTCGGTTGTTGCTTAGGCCAAGAGGTGAGTGGGTGATGATGCTGTCCTGGGAATACTACTACCCCTTTTCAGGTTTCTCCTGAGAGAGAGAGGGTTTCTCATGTTCATCAGATCTGTTCAGGATCAAACCCCAGGCAGATTTTACTTTGAGGAAATCACTGTACATCTTGGTCAAATTCTATCTATTAAGATTATGGGTAGTTGTCTGAGCTGAAATCGTGAGTGAAGATTGCAAAAAGGAGAGGTTTGTGTCTAAGGTTTTCCACTTCTGTTCTGCTTTAGGTGGGGTACACTATTCGATTTGAGGACTGCACCAGCCCAGAAACAGTCATCAAGTACATGACAGACGGGATGTTGCTCCGAGAGTGCCTGATCGACCCCGACCTCACTCAGTATGCAATCATCATGTTGGATGAGGCGCATGAGAGAACAATTCACACTGATGTGCTCTTTGGATTGCTGAAAAAGGTAACTAGGTGCTCTTCAGTGACCCTTCTGCCTGTTGAGAACTGAATTCTGGGAATAGATGTTGTTTTTTAAGATTCATTGACTTGATTATTTATTTATTTTTAGCTGTGCTGGGTCTTTGTTGCTGCATGTGGGCTTTCTCAAGTTGCAGAGAACAGGGGCTACTCTCTAGTTCTGGTGCGGGACTTCTCATTGCAGTGCCTCCTCTTGGTGGAGCACGGGCTCTAGTCATTGTGGCACATGGGCTTGGGTTGTGGCGCATGGGCTTAGTTGCTCTGTGGCACGTGGGATCTTCTCAGACCAGGGATTGAACCCATTTCTCCTGCATTGGCAGGAGGATTCCTAACCATTTGACCACCAGGAAAGCCCTGGGAATTGGATTTGAGTACTTGTGCCTTTTTTGGGCAGTCTTTTTTAGTAAGCTGCATTGCATTTCTCTTTAGACAGTTCAGAAACGGCAGGACATGAAACTGATTGTCACCTCAGCCACCTTGGATGCTGTGAAGTTTTCTCAGTACTTCTATGAAGCGCCCATCTTTACCATCCCAGGTCGAACATACCCAGTGGAAATACTGTACACAAAGGAACCTGAAACCGATTATCTCGATGCCAGCTTGATCACGGTCATGCAGATCCACTTAACAGAACCACCAGGTAAGGGGAAAAGAGCATTTTTCCTCTTAGGCCAAAAGTCCTGATGTGGGTATTTTTGCTCATTTTTTTATAAAAATGCCTTTTAAATGTTGGTTGGTCTGTAGGTCTCAGGTTTGCATGTTTGAAGTGGTGGTAATGAAAATATAAATAATAGTATGCAGGGTATAAATGCATCTATTTAAACATAGCCACAAATTTTTAAAAAATTAAAAACAAAAACAGAATAAACATGGAAAGCAGAAAACCTCTTGATTTGTTAGAGATCAGAATATGAGTGTGTTTTCCACCTTTTGGAGTTCTGTGAATGTCAGTGTGGCCTTTGTATAGAACAAACATACAAACATGTTTGTATAGAACAAACATGCTTCTGTTCTCCTCTTAGGTGATATCCTGGTCTTCCTGACTGGTCAGGAAGAGATTGATACTGCATGCGAGATCCTGTATGAAAGAATGAAATCCCTGGGACCTGATGTTCCAGAACTGATTATTCTCCCAGTGTACTCTGCTCTCCCCAGTGAGATGCAGACCCGAATCTTTGACCCAGCTCCACCTGGCAGCAGAAAGGTAACACAGGCGCTTGTGTTCTGAAACCACGTGGTGTATGCAACTGTTCTTGACGGGGGATTGCTTATGGTGTATGTGAGTCTTGTGTATTATATTTTAGGAAGTAGTCCAACCAGCTTGTTAAGGAATGAGGGTCCTTGTATGTGATCCCGGCTCTTCTTCCTCCCTTTTCCTTCATTTGACAGGTTGTTTTTTGAGCATTTCCCAGACTTTGGGGTAGACACAGGGCTGCCATCTGAGGATAGGTTCTGTCTGCTGTGGAACATCCACCAGTAGACAGGCCTTTACCATAGAGTGTGACAGTGCCACTAGTGCGCTGGGTCCCCAGAGGGGGAGCACCCAACCCAGTGTTCTTACTGGAAGTTAGGGTCTAAGCTAGTCCTGAAAAACCCGTGGATGTTCACCTAGACAAGACGGGCAGGACAACATGCATTCCGAGTCGGCAGAACAGGCCCTCCTAGCCAAGAGCTGTGTGGGTTTTCAGGGAGATGTGTAGTTCCAGCAGCTGGAATTGACTGTATGAGTATGTGTGAGACAGTGGGAAAGGAGACAGATGGATTTTACAGTAATAACTTTATTGAGATACATATTACCAAACAATTACCCCTTTAAAGCATAAAATTCAGTACACGTTAGTATAGTCACAGAATTTTTTTTAGTATATTCACAGAATTGTGCAGCCATGAATTACCATTATTAATCATTCATCACTAACCATTAATTACTACAACTTAATCTTTATAGCAATCTCACATCCCCAAAAGAGACCCTTTAGAAATCATCCCCCATTCACCCCTCTGCTCAGCCCCTGGGAACCGCTTTCTGTCTCTGGATTCACCTGTTCTGGACATGTCATATAAATGGAGTCATCATAATTTGTGGCCTTTGGGGACTAGCTTCTTTCACTTAGTGTGTTTTCAAGATACATCCATGTTGTAGCATGTATAAGCACCTCATTTCTTTTTACTGTTGAAGAATACTCTGTTGTAGAACAGAATGTACCACATTTTGTTTATCCATTCATCAGTTGATGGACATTTGGATTGTTTCCACCTTTTAGCTATTATGAATAACGCTGCTGCGAACATTTGTTTACAAGTTTTCGTGTGGACATATGTTTTCTTTTCTCTTGAGTACATACCTAGGAATGGAAGACAGATGGGTTTTCTTTTTTAATTGAAATACAGTTGATGTACAACATTATGTTAGTTTTAGGGGCACTACAAAGTGATTTGACATTTGCATACATTATAAAATGATCACCAGAATGAATCTGGTAACCATCTGGAAGACAGATGGATCTGAATAACATTGAAGAGTTAGAACGGTCAAGACATAGTGGGCGCCTGGAGATTTAGGGAAGGGGAATGCGGAGAAGTCAGGAATGACTACCAGGTTTCTGGCTTGGGCAGCTAGATGGAAGATGGTGCTGAGGAGGCAAATGAAGAGGAGCAGGTTTGAGAGGAAAACGGTGACTCCTACTCTGTTCCTGGTGATTGTGCTTCTCTCCACGGGGGAGTTCTCTGGCAGGTAGAAGCCTTTCAGGGCCAGTAAAATGCTGGCACGAGGCAAGACGTTCTGGTGCCTCCTGGCAATGATTTTTCAAGCAATTGTGTTTTATTGTCTGAACCTCTGGGTGGAAGAAGAGTGGCAGTACCAGGCTGAGACCAATAATCTAGATCACATATGCTGCTTTTTACACACAGATCGTGAAATTCCTCTGCTGCCTCGTGGTTCATTTTATGATCAGAAAAAAAAAGTCTCCCTCTTGTTCCACATACACAAACAGCTCATTTTGTAGTACAGATGTCCCTGTGGGGGAAGGAAAATCTCATTTTGCACTGGCACATGTGATACCAGGAAATCTCTGCTTTCCCAGGGTGCTAGAAAATTAAAATTGTAGTAATCAGCATTGGATCTAGAAAATGAAGGATGTAGCCATTTGCACAAATGAAATTGGCTTTGACTGGCCATTGCTTTTTCCTACTCCACTTCTCTCAGGTACCACTCTCTCTCCAGCCTAACACTTTAAGATGAAGGCACCTCCCGTTCCACCCATTTGAAGCCAAACAGAGATTAAGTGCTCTCTAACCATCTAGAGAGAGGGAGAGAGCTGCACAACCTCTTTGGAAAGATGTCCGAGTTCAGAAGTCTCATTTCACCCCTCAGAACTGAGACTGGGCAGTTCAATCCAGCTACGTCCCTCTTGCCTGCAGGTCGTGATTGCCACCAACATTGCGGAGACATCGCTGACTATTGATGGCATTTACTATGTGGTGGACCCTGGATTCGTGAAGCAGAAGGTGTACAATTCTAAGACAGGGATTGACCAGCTCGTGGTGACTCCTATTTCTCAGGTAGGGCAACTTCTTCTGGCAGCTTTTCTGAAAATCCTGGTTAGGGCTTTTATGACATTTTTTATGGTTTTGTATTTTGAACTTTATTGTTTTAAGATATTGGCTGCTTTGTTGAGATACAGGAGATTTTGTGTTGTTTGTTTTTAATCTTCAGAATAGTCTTTCAACATTAAAAAACCCCATACAACTGGAATTAAAAAAAAAAAGAAATTGAATCTTAGCACCCTTGATTATCTTAAGAATATTATTTTTAAAAATATTGCACTTAGCCACAAATATCTGAGATAGTAATAATTCAAGAAGTGATAATAATGTGTTTCTTTGGTAATTATGGAATAGTTTCCTGCCTAAATTATATTTTTAAATGAATACCCTGATCATCCTTTTTGAAGGCAGTTCCCCAATGTATCTGAAATGTAAAAGTTCATTTCTTGAACTTAACAGTTCTGCTTCTGGAAATAAATCTGAAAGTTAGAAATGATTGAACTCATATCCAAAAGTAATGGAAAAGGATGTTCATGAAGCATTATTTGTATTAGAGGGAACCTGGGAAAATTCTAAATTAGTTCTGAAAGGGAAATAGTTTAATAAAGTATGGTAAATTCATGCCATACAATGTTTACATTAACACAGTGGTGTGTATCTTTATTTAATGAGGTGAGCACATAACTGTGATATGTTATTTGAAAAAAGTGAGCTACAAAGTAGCATGAGTAGTATAATCCAGTTTTTGTTTAAAAACAGATGGTATGCGCCTGTGCACAGTGTATGTGAACGTACCTGCAATTGAAAGCGTAGTATAGGCAAAATGTTAGGCAAGGTTCTTTCTCGGTGGTGCTGCTGGTTTCTGTGCTGATGGGTAAAGCACATTTTCTTCCCGATACTTTTATATATTGTCTTAATGTTCTATAAGAGGCATGTGTTACTCTCATAATCTATAATTCCATAAGGCTATTTTCATTTTGAAACTTAAGTAATAATAGCTAACACTTGCAGGGTACTTCCTATGTACCAGGCACTGTCCCAGGTACTTTCATGCACATGAACTCATTACATTCTCAGTTGTTCTTCTGTGGTAGATGTTATTATCCTCATCTCACAAGTGAGACTGAGGGCCAGTGACTTGCCTAAGGTCACATAGCTGGCAGAGCCAGGATTTAAACCTGGGCAAGGGAGTTCCCTGGTGGTCGTGGTTAAGACTCTGCATTTTTAATGCAGAGGGCATGGGTTCAGTCCCTGCTCAGGGAACTAAGATCCCATGTCTGCTGTGCGTGCGTGCATGTATGTGTATGTGCTCACTTGCTCCAGTCGTGTCCGACCCTTTGCAACCCCAGGGACTGTAGCCCACCAGGCTCCTCTGTCCAAGGGATTCTCCAGGCAGGAATACTAGAGTGGGTTGCCATGCCCTCCTCAAGGGGATCTTCCCAACCCGAACCCATGTCTCCTGAGTCTCCTGCATCGCAGACAGATTCTTTACCCACTGAGCCACCTGGGAAGCCATGCATGCTGTGAGATGTGGCCCAAAAAGAAAAGAAAAAGAAATTAAACTTGGGCAGTGGTCCCAGCATGTGTGCTTCTGTACCAGTTCTTCTGGGGGTGATACGTGCAACTCGCAGTGATGGAGAAATTATTTATATCTGCCCTCCGTAATTTGAGAAACATCTGTAGAATGTTGTGGAATCTGATTGCTGCCTCCCTCTGAGTGGGTAGTGACCTCTTATACTCTTATCTTTTGTTTTGGAGCTGACATATAAATTCATAAACTCTGATACTATTTATAAGACAGATGGTTTTGTCAGAAAATGGCCCTCTCCAGATTGCTATTCACTGGTTTCCTAGCAACCTAGGGCTAACCTACATATTGTTTTTAATTTTAAAAATTAGCGCCCCTCTCCCCTGAGTACAGAAGTAATATAACATTATTTTGAAAATTGCCCATAGTCCTATTGCCACCAACCACTGTCTTCATTATGATGTTTTTTCTTGCCCATCTTTTTTCATGTTTATTTCAGATTGCAATTTTAATAGTGTAGTAAGTATGTGGGTTTTGATTAACATTTAACTTTCCTGATAAGGTAAGTTAAGGTAATGTATGTTCATTTTTGGATATTTGTTAAAGAAAATAGAACTCATCTACAAGCCTAGCATCAGAGTTATCCAAAGTTAACATTTTAGGATATTTTTTCCCTAGTTTTTTATTTCTGATAGTTTGTATATTTACATTAAGATTAAAAAAATAAAATTAGTATTGTTTGGCGATTTGCTTTTTCACCTCTGAGTGAACTTGTTCATCTGTCATTGAACATCTCAAAAACTTGGTTTTTAAAACAGCTGCAGACTCGTTCACTGGTATGATTACATTATATTTATTCAGTTAACTTACATTTTTGGTTATCATGGTGGAGGGTGGGTTTTGTTATTTGGTTTTATGCTTTCTTATGTTGTGCCATGCTAGTTTGAAGGTATATTTCTGTGATCTTTACAGTATTTCTTCTATTCACTTGCTTGTATTAATATTTGGCTTCACTTGAACAGACTTCCCTGAGTGGGGATGATTAAGAGCAGTGGTAGGAACTCTTCGAAATAGTCCTAGAGGAAGTGAAATAAACCCCATTTTAGGTTTTGCCCGTTGCAAAGTGCCCCCTTTCTACAGATTTCCTGGGTGAAGCCATTAACGAATGCTTAACAGATCTGTTACTTTTATTCCCACCCCTCTAGGCTCAGGCAAAGCAACGAGCTGGCAGAGCTGGGAGAACAGGCCCAGGGAAGTGTTACAGGCTGTACACAGAACGTGCCTACCGAGATGAAATGCTGACCACCAACGTGCCAGAAATTCAGAGAACCAACTTAGCAAGCACAGTGCTCTCGCTCAAGGTAGAAATCACTGTCTTGTTAGAATGGGCTGGTGGAGCAGTCCAATTCTGTGGCCTTAGTGAATGGATCTCGGTTTTATGAATCTTGTTAAATACTTCAGTAACCTCATGGAACCCGTCCCTTTGGGTACAAGGCAAACGGCTGTGATAGCAGCCTCTCCACCGCGGGTCTGGGGCTAAATTGGCGTGTGTGCTGTGTTGTTTTTTTTCTTGCCATCATAACCAGCAGGATATTTGGTTATAAAAGATTTTAGTTAGGAGCATTATCTGTCTAACAGGATATTAGAAAAATCGAGCCAGTGCCAAACTGTGGACAAACTCACTTCCCTCAACCCTTTAACTTTCACATCCAATTCTGTTCTTTTAAAACAGAAGCAAAACCCCTAATCCTAAAGCTTTGCAAGGGAACAACTGTTAGTACAGGTTTCAGACTGGCCCCTTGGGGCTGGGTTTCATTCTAAATCACTGCTCTTCCTCTCTCAGTCCCCATGAGAGCCTTCAGTCTCTCTTGGCAGGGGGAACTGCATGAGTAATTTCCCAGATTATGGCACCCCTACCCAGCGCCGCCCCCCCCCCCGGCTCCAGTGCTGCCCTGGAGCTCTGGCACTTTACTAATGCACAGTGTTCTGTTGTAATTTATTATTCATTCCCTGTACGAAAGGCTAAAACAGAGCTTCAGAGGAAAAAAACAAAAAAGCCTGTTCGTCTCTGAAGTGAGAACAGAGAGACATCTGTGGCTCAAAGTTCTGTTCTGAGCTGTGTGTCTTTGGTAAATTTACCTGCTCTGCTCTCTGCTCTGTATTCTCCTCTCAAAGTGGGGGGCTGTTAATAGTCTTTCCTGTGGATAAATGAGATAGTGCAGGTAAAGGCACTTGGCACAACACTTACTGATTGCTAACATAATTCCTTGTTCTTATTCATACAGTAAGCAGTTATTGAACACCTGCTGTGTTTATGGTCACCATCACTTCTGTGGGAAAGAAACAGAAAGCTTAGGTCCTGCCTTTATACACATATGGACAGTGCATCATTTGTTTCTTTTATTCATCAAATTAGCTAACAGATGTATCAAGTGCCTGCTCTGTGGCAGGCAGGCGGTTGCATGTGGTTCTTTGTGTCACCATGGTGAACCCTGAGAGCAGGGGCCATATCTTAGTCCTCTTTGTATCCCTCCCACCTAACATGGCACACAGGGCACTTTCTGCATATACAGGAGATATTATGTATGCAGGAGACAGGGCAAGCTGGTTGTTATTTCTTGTTTTTTTTAAGTTATGGTAAAATATATAACACATTGTCATTGTAATCTTTTAAAATGTCTAGTTCAGTGGCACTAAGTGCATTCACATTGAGCAGCCATCACTACTATCCATTTCCAGAACTTTTTGATCATCCCAAATTGAAACTCTGTACTCATTTAGCTAAACTATCCCCTTCCCCCTCCCTCCTGGCCCTGGTAACCAAATTACTTTCTGTCTCTATGAATCTGCCTAGCCTAGGTACCTCAGATAAAAGGAATCACACGTATTTGTCCTTTTGATCTGGCTTATTTTACTTGTTGTTTTCAAGTTTCATCATGCTGTAGCATGTATTAGAATTTCAGTTGTTTTTAAGGGTGAGTAATATTCCATTGTATGTATATACAGCGTTTTGTTTATCCATTCTTCTTCTATTGATGGACTTCTGGGTTGTTTCTACCTTTTAGCTATTGTGAGGAATGTTGCTGTGAACTTTAATGTACAAGTATTTGTCCTGAGTCCCTTCTTTCATTTCTTTTGAGTATATACCTAGAAATGGAATTCTTAGATCACCTGGTAACTCTGTGTTTAACTTGTTGGTGAATCACCAAGCAGCCGCAACATTTTATTCCCATCAGCAATGTATGAGGATTCCTGTTTCTCCATATCTTGCCAACACTTGTTATTTTCTTTCTTAAATTATGCCTGTCGCCATCCTAGTGGGTATGAAGTATTTCATGGTGGTTTTGATTTGCATTTCCCTAATTACTGGTTATATTGAGCATCTTTTCTTGTGTTTGTTTCCATTTTTTTTTTAATATATCTTTGGAGACATGTCTACCTTTGCCCATTTTAAAATTTTTGTCTTTTGGTTTTTGAACTAAATATTCTGAGAGTGTTTTTTTTTTAATGTTTCCCAAGAAAGTATATGTTTTCTAACAGTCTTGAGGTTTGTGTGACCCAGCCCTCCTGCTAATCCCTCTGGTAGCTTCTCTGGTAGCTTCCTAATGGCAGTTGAAGAAAAATAAGAAGGTGATAAGTAGTCTCCCTCCATGTGAGCACTGGTGAGGCTGACCCTGCCATCTACACATTGTTCTCTTCTATTCTAGGCCATGGGCATCAATGACCTGCTGTCCTTTGACTTCATGGATGCCCCGCCAATGGAAACCTTGATCACAGCCATGGAGCAGCTGTACACGCTGGGGGCCCTGGACGACGAGGGCCTGCTTACTCGCCTGGGCCGCAGGGTAGGGGACAGCCCTAAACCTCGGTTACTTTGGGGAAGATTCCCTGGCTAACCTTCCATTCTTTCTGTTCTGTATAAAAAATTAAGCTCTGAGGCCCTGGATAAGCTTTGACTAGAATTCTGCATGCCTGTGTTTAACCTGGATTTTCCACTATTACTTGAAACTATTTCTTCTTTACAGAAAAAGAAATTCTATCCAACTAATCTTACTTCATGATATGTAATTGAGTTTAGCCTTTGAAAAGATGTCTGTAAAATTCCCACCTACCCCGACAGTAGTTATAATCTTGGTCATGTACATTTTGTTGAAATTTATTTGGGAAATCAAAAAAAAAAAAAATTCTTCCAATAGAGTGAGGCATCCTACATCATCATGCTTGGGTAAACTTCCTGTGGTCTGTTACCCACTCTGACCCACTACTCCAGGTGGGTCTTCCCCAGGGTAACAATTGTAGTTTCTTCTTCTCCCTCTAGATGGCAGAGTTCCCTCTGGAGCCAATGCTGTGCAAAATGCTGATCATGTCTGTGCATCTGGGCTGCAGTGAGGAAATGCTGACCATTGTGTCCATGCTGTCTGTGCAGAACGTCTTCTACAGACCCAAAGTAAGGAGTGCAGGCCTGCGTTCACGTAGGGGTCAGGCGAAGTTGGGTAAAGTCAGCCTGTTGCCACCCAGGTGCTTAATGTGCACACTTGATTGGGCCATGGAGGGTGTCCCAGCATTGCTGGGTGTTCAGTCAGTAGGTATTGGGTGGGAAATGAGCTTCTCTGCACTGCTTGCAGGATAAACAAGCCCTTGCAGATCAGAAGAAGGCCAAATTCCATCAGACCGAAGGGGACCACCTCACCCTGCTGGCCGTGTACAACTCCTGGAAGAACAACAAGTTCTCCAACCCTTGGTGCTATGAGAACTTCATCCAGGCCCGTTCTCTGCGCCGGGCCCAGGACATTCGCAAGCAGATGTTGGGCATAATGGACAGGTAACACCCGGTGACTTCTGTTCAAGTTGGGTCTTCCTGAATGCCGTGCTGTGTATGTACTTGTGTCTCTGCATGTGTCTGTGAAGCTGAGGGCGCCTGTACTCTTGCTCCTCACGTAAAACTGTTTTCCTCCAGCTTTTCCTTCTCTGTTGTACTCCTTCCAGGTGAGGATGGGGCTGAGAGTCACTTCAGGAAGTTCCTAAGAGGAAGATGATATATTAGTTGTTGAAAATGCTCTTTGTTTACAGCATCTGTGACATTATTAGTTGGGTTGAATTATAACCCAGGCAAAGTGTCTGGTTCTTGTGGCATCCGTCTTGCCCACTGTGTCAAGCTGCCCCTGTAGTGCACTTAGGGCTGGAAGGAGGGTCCTAGTGCTGATTCTGGGGGCCCCACGAGGTGGGTATTGGGTACTGTCATTCTGGAACAAATAACCTCAGAAAGCAGAATAGTCTCCCATCTTTGTCCTCTCTTGACTTATTCTCCTGCAAGACACAAGCTGGATGTGGTGTCCTGTGGTAAGTCCACAGTCCGAGTGCAGAAGGCCATTTGCAGTGGATTCTTCCGGAACGCTGCCAAAAAAGACCCACAGGAGGGTTACCGGACACTGATCGACCAGCAAGTGGTCTATATCCATCCGTCCAGTGCCCTCTTCAACAGACAGCCCGAATGGTAGGTGGACAGAGAGAACTTGGGAATCAGCTGGCTCTTTGTGTTTGTGTCCCCACTCACACCCAGTACTTCCTAACGTTGCTTATGTTTCTAGAGCAGCAGAAGCCTGAATTAGACACAGTATCAGGCCCTTTTGAGAGAAATAAAATCACAGGGGTGAGAGCTAGGAAGGATCTCAGAGATCTAGTGAGGTGATTAAATTTTTACTTTTTCAAATAGTATTTAAAGAAAATTGAAATCTTACCCACCTTAACATAAAACTGATTTAAAACCACTGTGCCACCATGGTGGTAGAAGAGAGCTGGAGACATAGAGCCTGGCCTGCTTGGCTTTCCCCATTCCCATGCGGCAGCCTCACAGGTCCTCTTCAGGGTCCTAGAGTTCTGTGGAGACAGCCCAGAAAACCACCCTCACACTTCATAGAGCAGGAAACAGAGGTCCAGAGAAGGAATATGATTGGCTCCGTGTCACTTAACTCTTTGGAACCGGCAGCTTTCTTGTGGTGAGAGGTGTGCAGGCGCCTCAGTGTTGGGGTGTGGTTGTCATAAACAGGGACTCCAGTCTCCTCAGGGGTCAGGTTGGAGAGGTAAGAGGGTCAAGTGCAAGCTCAGCTGAGGCCCGCCAGGGACCAGGGTGACTTGACCCTGGGGCAGGTCCTATGTTGCAGGCTTGAGCTCTCTCTCTCCTCCCCTCAGGGTGGTGTATCATGAGCTGGTGCTGACCACGAAGGAGTACATGCGTGAGGTCACCACCATCGACCCCCGGTGGCTTGTGGAGTTTGCACCAGCCTTCTTCAAGGTCTCTGACCCGACCAAGCTAAGCAAGCAGAAGAAGCAGCAACGGCTGGAACCCTTGTACAACCGCTATGAGGAGCCCAATGCCTGGAGAATATCCCGAGCCTTCCGGCGACGCTAAAAGACAAGAGTATGTTGGCCTCACCTGCAGCCCTGGGCCAGGGCTCAGCCTCACTCTTATTGATGAGAAGCTGGTCCTGAGGATACAGCTGTCTGGTGGCTGAATATCTCAACTGGGCATTTCCTAAACTTGACTCTCCTTCCTTCCCTGGTGGTAAAATAGAAACAGGGATTTATGCCTGGTGTGATCAGAGCCTCTAGGCTCCACCACCCCAAGGTGGGGCCAGCAGGGCTCACACCCGACGTGTGGTCCACTGCGACATCTTCAAGAAAGGGGAAACTTCTGCAGCTCTTGGATGGGAAAGGGGAGCCATGAGCATCCGCTTCGTGGATTCAGTGAGGGCTCTGAGGCCCTGACTGGTACTCTGTAGGAGAGGGAGCCATGAAGCTCACCCAAAGTGTTGGCCTCCCCCCTCTCCTTCATACCCCTGTCCAGCCCCTGTCCTTTTGCTTAACCTCCTGCAAATATTTATTTTCATAAGGAAACAAAAATGGTTCTCTGTGGCTGTTTCTTTTAGCTGAAAGGTTAGGCTATTGGCCTGGGCTGAAGGTGGGGAGATTTAGTATCTGAGGCTTCAGTGGAGAGTCCCCTGAAACCAGAGCCTGGGGCTCTTTGGACTGAAGGGTGACGCACACCCAGATCTCCAGTGTTCTCTCTCAGCATCAGCACTGGTCCAGAGCTGCAAGGACTGCACCGTGATTAGCCACATCCACTGCGCAGGCATTCTGCTCTGGCAACCTGAGTGATTACAGATGCCATATATTAAATACAGAAGGCTCTCCCTGGCTCCCTCTCCCACCTGCCGAACTCAGAACATGCAGTGCGTCCTATTTCCTCTTGAAACACACAAGTAGTGGCACAACTTTCAGCTTATTTTTGGTTTTATTTTTATCCCTCTGATCTCTTTAACAGAATTTTCTCTGGTCCAAGCCTCTCTTCCTCCACCCCAAAGTGAAAATCAACATCACACCTCTCAGAGCCTGTTAGTGCTGCCCAGGACCTGTGCTCCTGGCCACATGCTTGGTGGTTTTCTCCTAACATTTGGTTGGGAAATGGCCTCCTCCCAGGGCCCTGCTCACATTTCCTGACAAGCCTCTAGACTTGGAAGACCATCAGGCAGATGCTGCCAGGCCAGGCTATGGAACTTCCGGGAAGTTGGTCTGGTGGAGAAACCCCTGGCAGATTGGGTGCATCCTGTGTTATGGCCCGAACTGTCTCCTGTCTCCCTACACTTGAGAGTTGTGAAATGATGTAAATACTAGGACTACTCTACAGTGGTACTTTGGACACTAAAGGAGACTTATACAACCTACTAGGATGTAAAGGAATGTAGGCCACTGTTGGGCAGCAGACCAGCCTGAGGACACAATTCAGAAACAACCCAGCAGAGTCTGTTGATGGTAGATCCCTGCCCCTTCATTAGCTGACTGAGCTCCTGTGAGTCTCGGTGTGCCTCTCAGGAAACCTAGGCCAGCAGTTGAAGTCAGAGGTTCTAAAGATCCTTTAAGGCCTTGTGGGGAGACGGAGGAAACTGAAGCAGAAGCAGAGGCTGGCTACCCAGAAATAAGATTCCCGGCCAGGTCTGTCTGATTTAGGAACAAACTCTGGGCTTGGCAGCCCACCTGTCCCAGCTGGGTGACCAGCATTGACGGCATTGGCACCTCTGAAGTCATCACCGCCAAGAAAGGAGGTTTGGATTTTAAGCTGAAGTTGAAAAGGGGATGTTTAGCAGGCCAAGGCTGAGAGACAGTGGGCTGGTCATCTTTCTGGGTTAGGTGAGCAAAAGGGACCCCGGCTCTGCGAGTGTTTTTGAACATCTCCCCAAACAGCTGGAGTCACCGTCTCTACTGTGACACCATGGCAGGGGTCTGACCTTTTGACTGTGCATGAGGGAACAGCATGTATGCAGCACTGCTGAGCCTGCCTAGAGAGAGCAGGGGGCTCTCGGGCAGATTGGGCAGGAGGACCCGCCTGCTGCTCCTACACAATGGGGCCCTTGTTTCTCGTCCTTGAAGCAATATTTCCCGAGATTGAGTGACAGCCCAGAAGAGGATGTGGGTCTCGTGCAAGGAGCTGGAAACATCTTGCTGTTTATCCCACCCCTGCGGGAGCCTAGCTCGTCCTGCCCCTGCACTTGTGCTGAGTCTGTGCCTGCCTGTGTGGTGGGGGACCGGCCCTATGGGCCGTGTGTCAGCTCTCCTGTTGGGTCAGGCGCCTTGGTCCAGGGTCTCCCTTCATCCAGTTTGGAGTGCGGCTCGGTTTTGACTGTCTCTCCTTCAGCCAGAGAATTCTCTCCTGTGGTCATAGTTGTGGTCTGGTAGCCATCTCCTCAGAGCAGTGCCCTCCACGTGTAAGGATTTGAACAGAGTTGTGAGGAGTGGCTTGTTAGCATTCCAGAGGACAGAGGTCACATGCCAGCCCGTGGAGACCTCTCCAGGACCCCGTCTCTCCTCATAAGGCACCTACTGAGACCTCGGGGTTTCCACTTGACCTTTGCGCCTCTTCTCACCGAGACAGCCTAGGTTTCAGGTACAATCGCAGGCTTCCCTGCTGGCTCAGACAGTAAAGAATCTGTTGGCAGTGCAGGAGACCCAGGTTTGATCCCTGGGTCGGGAAGATCTCTTGGAGGAGGAAATGGCAACCCATTCCAGAATTCTTGCCTTGGGATATCCCATGGACAGAGAAGCCTGGCGGGCTATAGCACATGGAGTCAGAGCTGAACGTGACTGAGCGACTAACACTCAAGTACAATTATGTATTTTTACATAACAAAAAACTTGTTTTTTAAAAATTTTGTCTATTGCTGTAAAGTTAGCACATTGTTTTCTGTTTCTGGGGGAAAAAAATAACATTGTTTTTTATTTGTGGGTAGTGGTCAAGAGGCATCTCTTCCTGCAGTCTTGGCCTGAGTACTGGGCAGAGGCTGTGGGTGAAGTGTCAGCTGTGGTTGGGCTGGCCCCGCCTCAACGCAGAGGTTCGCTGCGGTTCTGATGTAATTGGATGGAGAGCACCTGTTTTCACCCGAGTCTGGCTCCTAGGAAGCTGTTTACACAGGGACTGCCCATCCTGCTCTTCCTTCCTCCACAGGCCCTGTCATATCTCCTACCACACTTCCTTTTTAGATGTCACCACTTATTCAGCCTGGGCTCCCACCTCCCAACCCTGAAAACATGGCCCAGGGTTCTGTTCTCCCCTCAGATTTGGGCAAAGAGAATCCATGCTGTTTCCCTTCCCCTTTGCTGCGAAAGTCTGGCATGCTCTTCCTCACTGGCCAGAACCCAGGACTGGGGGCTGCTCCAGCCTCTGTGTACCCTCTTGCCTGGGTGCCACCTTTTCCTGCTCCCCTCCATACAAACTGTTCCCACCTTCAGCAAAACAGCAACCTGGAGCCACAGCAGGGGGGGACACACAACTGCGGTTTGTACACATGGGTAGGATGGTCATGGGAGTATCTGTGATCACAGAAACCACAGACCAAACCCTGCCTAAGGAAGCCCCAGGAGGGCTTCAAGGCTCTGATCAGTCCCACTTCCCCTAACCTGGGCGGGGAGATGGCTGCCCATCAATACATGAGATATTTCAGACACTCCTCTTGATAATCCTGGGAGGGAGAAGTCAGCAGCTATCACTGAGCCCTTTTTCCAGAGGAAAAAGGCAGAGATCATTTGTTTTTCCTAAACCCATATGGGAGGTTAAGTGTCAGGGCCAGGGCCCAAACTCTGGTTATGTGTCTTTCAAACCCCAGATCCTTCTCCCATGGCAGCAGAGAGGACACAGAACTCACAGGAGAAGCAGGGGCCTTTATTAGGGTCTGGCAGATGTAGTGGAGGTGAAATCCCAGGCCTGGGCCTAGGAAAAGGCAGAGGAGAGGCAGAGGTCCCCGGAGCAGAGGCTAGGCCCCCCACACCTCTACCTGGACAAGCCCTCCCCTACCCCAGGTTCCTTACTCCAGCCTCCCCCTGCCTCTGGGAACACAGAGCACCAAGAACTGCCAAGAAGGACCCTCTAGGGCCACAGCTTGGAGGGAAGCACAGGATCCAGGTGGCTGTCTCCCTACCATGAGAGATAAGGGGAGCTCAATGTCCCCTGCTCTCCACCGGGATGAAGTGGGGAAGCTCTTTCTCTGTCCCCCAGAAGAGAACGAACATGTTCTCTGTAGTGGGGGAGAGGGAGTAGTGCTTGGCCTCTAAGCAGGACCTAGAAAGAGGCCAGAGGTGAGGCCCCCAACGGAATTTCCCAGATGCTACCTTTACGCTTGAAGTCTCCCCTTTTCCCTTCCCATCAGTTCTGGAGAGCAGCTCAGAGTCTGTGCCAGAGTGACTGATGGGCAGAGGAGATCTACTCCAAAGACATCTGTGGATTTCAGAGTGGGGGTTTCTCCGACACCAAACTCAACTATGTACACAGGCAGCAGCCCCGGCGGCAGGGGAGCAGCTGCGAAGGGCTAGTAAGAGTAGCCACCCTTGGGGCCAAAGGGCTGGGCAGGGCCAGCCAGCTCTGGGAGGTAGGCGGGGCTCTCGTCCAAGTGGGACAAAGGGACTGTGTCCTCCTCACTGACCGGGCGGTCAAACTCAGCCTTGAGAGCTGGACGCTGATTGTCCGGGAAGGCCAGAGAGAAGAGGGCCTCGGGCTCGCACACAAACTTGTACACGTAACGCTCACCAGCCACCTGTAGGGGGAGAGGGCTGGGTCAATGTGGGGTGGAAAAGCAGACCCCTGCCTGCAGGCCCAGGCAGATGCATGGGTTCCTCCTGCTGCTTCGTCTAAGAACATGCCTCCCTTCACAGTTCTTTTCCATTACTGCTCATCACTTTTTTTTTTTTTTTTTTTTGGCCTTGCTGCATGGCATGTGGGATCTTAGTTCCCTGACCAGGGATTGAACCAGCATCCCCTGCATTGGAAGCACAGTGTCTTAACCCCTTGACCGCCAGGGAAGTCCCCTGCTCATCACTTTTTTGAGAGAGGAAAATTTTAGGGTTGTCCATAATTTCTGGACTTCTCTGCTTCATTATCTGCTCCTTCAAACTTCCTGAGAGATGCTCTCCTACCCCCAGCACCTTCCCACAGCCACTGCCCCCTTCTCCTATGTCTGTTTTTTTTTTTTTTCTTTTTGGCTGCACCTCACAGCATACAGAATTTCCCCAACCAGGAATCAAACCCACCCCCCTGCAGTGGAAGCAGAGTCTCAGCCACTGGACCACCAGGGAAGCCCGCACCCACCCTGTCCTTGGACCCGTAACCCCTGACCTTCTGCATGATGCCTTTCTCATAGTAGTATCGGAGTGAGCGGCTCAGTTTGTCGTAATTCATAGCTGGCCGGTTCTTCTGGATACCCCAGAGCCTGGCGACCTGGGAACAGGGGATAGTTGGGGGATGGCCACTGCAGCTCAGCAGAGGAAATAAGGGGGGCAGGTCTGAAAGAGCACTTGAGATTCTTGGAGCACATGCTCAGCTGGCCCTGCAGCTAAGCACCAGCCGCAGACCCCAGTTTGGCAGGAATCAGGTTGAATAAAGCAGCAGTGCTAGTGAAGGCACATGTCACCAGTTCCCGGGGTTTCTTATCTCCAGCCCCCAATGCTGTTGGAAGGAGGGGTGGAGACATCCAAGAGGCCCACCTCCTCAGGCTCAATTAGTTTGAACTCCATCCCCCGGCCGGTCCAGGCAATGAAGTGGGCATTCGTTGGGTCATCGAGCAGGGCCACCAGAAACTGCCACAGCTGCAGGGCACCCCGGCGCTGGTACGGTGGTCCCTCTCGGAAGGCTCCCATCCCTTCCTGCTTGATGTCTCCTGAGGAACACAGGAAACGAGAGGTGGAGGGCTTATGCCCCTGGTGGCCCAAGCGACCCCGTCCCCTCTCCCCAGCGGGCTCTCCAGGCCCTTTCCCATGAAATGTGGTGTGATTCCTGGGGGGACACAGAGGTTCGAGCAGTCACTTCTCTGACCTTCAAACTTCTCAGGGACGACGCAGACATCATCTGGGAATGGTCGCAGAGGTTTCTCATAGCCATAGCCTTGAGAAGGAAGTGTGGGGGTCATTCAGATCTGGGGGCTCGCTGATACAAGACCCCAAAGAGTCCAGAGGGACTCCCAGCCAGGAGCCCCTCCCCCACAGCAGGACTCTGTCCTCCAACCCGGAGGACTTGGCAGGGGAGGAAGAGGGGGCTGCCTTACCCGCGGTCCTGTCACCTGGAGAGGGCCCGGAGAAACCCTCTGTGTGAAGGTACATTGAGGCATACCCAGGGACATCTGGGGGGGAGGAGAAAGAGGGAGATATTGGAGGTGGCTGGGGTGGGGGCAGGGGCGGCAGTCCCCCACACATTCAAGAACTTGCCAGCCTGCCTTCTGGTTCTTTCCCCACAGGCCTGCCTACCCCCAGTTCCCGGGGAGAAGTTCACCCAGAGGGAGTGTCAGGCTCGAAACCCTCAGCTTGAGGGCTAGGCCAGACGGCCTGGATGGCAGCAGCTGAGGCCGGGCAAAGCTGCTCCACAAGGCCCCGGATTCCAGGAGCAGCTGTTTCCTGTGAGTTTAGCAGGGAGGAGGAGGGTAGAGATGAACCTCCGGGGAAAGGGTTCAGTGTCCCAGTCTAAGATTCCCCTGGAATGGGCTGACGTCCGGTCAGCAGGGCAGGTTCCAGCCCAGTGCGGGTGTGAGGGAGGGAGGAAAGGGGTGTGGGGGCAGGGAGAAGAAACACACATGCATCTATTTGTGGAAAAGGCAGTGGGCACGCCCGGCCAGGCCCTATGTTTCCAGCTCTGACAGTAGACAGTCCGCCCTATTTCACTCCATTCCACAGGATTACACCCCACCTGGAGGACGCTGTGGTGCAGCCAGCCTGTCAAGTGCCAGCCCCTTCCTGCCCCACCCGCTTCACTCCCACTTATGAATGAGATGGTGAAACCCGACACCTCCGGAGGAGGCGGGAGGGTGGGCTCATTCCTGCCTCCATTTTGTGAATGGAATTCCTGACTCCATTCAGAGGAAGCAGAAGGGGGAGGGGCAGGAGTTCAAGGGCATGTAACTCGAGCTCCTCCGGTCTGCCTCCTTTGAAGGTCAGCGGACAAGAGCGTCTCCCTCCTACTTCCTCCTTCTCACTGAGGGACAGGGCTCAGGCGTAGGGCCCTGGGCTGGAGGAGAGGGGCTCCCTTCTGGTTCTGATTCAGGCAGACTGGGGGATTTGGGGCTCATGCCTCTACCCCTAAAAGACTGACACCAGGAAAAGGAAAATTTTAATTAGGCTCTAGGCAGCTCTGAGCCTAATCTAGACTCTGAAATTTATTTTTTCTATTGCAAGTTGGCAGATAAACTCAAAATTGGAGCTGGTAACACTGTTAATTAACTTGGGGCTTCCCTGGTGGCTCAGATGTTAAAAGAAACTGCCCGCAATGTGGGAGACCTGGGTTCGATCCCTGGGTCCGAAGATCCCCTGAAGGAGGAAATGGCAACCCACTCCAGTATTCTTGCCTTGGGAAATCCCATGGACAGAGGAGTCTGGTGGGCTACAGTCCATGGGATCACAAAGAGTTGGACATGACTGAGTGACTAACACACACGAAAATGTTAACAGGAGACAAGATTTCCTGGGCCTTTCCCTGGCTGCTTGGGGTTTTGAGCAGTAGCTGTTGTTTATGAACACCGTGGCTCAGTGCATCTCATTTCCATCAACAGCCAGGTGGAACTAGAATTTAAAGTATTCCCTACTTCCAGTCTCCAGCTCTGGCCAGGATGGTGGGTTGTTTCAACCAGGAGGCTCAAACAGGATGTGGAAACCACACCTGAACCCTGCCTTCCAATTGGGAAGTGTGAGCCTGGCTAGTTCAAGTTCATGTTTCTCATTCAAATCCCTTTGTATTTCTTAAGCTTCTGTGGGGACAGGGACCAATGACACATCCTATTCATCCGTGTCCACCAACTGCACACACTCATGCTCCTGGTATAGTACTTGTGTCTCAGTAGGTATGTAAGCCCCCAAACACCTGTTAAATAGAAATGGGAAGAAATGCCTTAACTTTCCTATCAAGTCACAAGCTATCCGAAGGCAAGGACCCGCACATCTCACTTATCTCTAATCTGAATATAAGTCTGCTGATTGAAAAGGGACAGTTCTTTTTGAATCTATGAAAAGAAGTGGTAGGTGCGTGGGTTGAATATGTGAACTAGTAAAAGGATAGGAAGGAGAGACATGTTGTGTTTAACGGCACTGTCCACTCGATCACATGCCACCCCACCCAGCAATCCCCTTGAAACTCCTCCATCCCCTTCCCAGGAGCATCTCTTACCTGAGTCGTAGGAGAAGTCCGTCTGCTCCTGTTTGATCACCACCCCCGCCCCTGGGTACCTGTGCCCACTGGCTCCACCCTGGCCCACTGCCGGCTGGCCGGCCTGTTCATACAGGGGGTCAAGGTATTCCTGCTTGAAGCTCTGCTGAGGGTAGGGTGGGCAGGGCTCCGACAGCTGGTGTTGATAGGGGGCAGGGAGGGGTTCCCGGCCGGCCCCCTGAGAGGGTGTGAAGGAGTGGCAGACATCCAGGGGCTGCTGGAAGATGGAGCTGCATGTGGTTGGATGGAGAAAGAAGAGAAGAGAATATTAAAAGTAGTCCTCCAACCCTGAGGGATGGGATGGGGAGGTAGGTGGGAGGGGAGTTCAGGATGGGGGACACATGTACACTCATCGCTGATTCATGTCCATGTATGGCAAAAACCACTACAACATTGTAAAGCAATTAGCCTCCAATTAAAGTAATTAATTAAAAAATAAAAGTAGGCCTCCTTGTGCCTGCTGCTCTCAGAGCTTACAGAGTGTGGGGGGCGGGGGTGAAGGAAGGGGCAGGGAGAGGTCAATATCCTCACCTTTCCCCATGCAGGGTCTAAGGGCCAGTGAAGAACACTCAAGAGAAAAACTGGTGAGATGCGGCTCTCCTTGTCTCCTTACCTGTGCTCCCCGAGGTACCCATGGCCAGGGTGGGGCTGGGAGGCGCCGGAGGATCTCAGGAAATTCCGTTGTTCTGCCCGGGGAAAGGGCTGCAGGGGCGACTGTCCGGGGGCAGCAGGGGCAGGGGACTTGATGGCGATTTGTCTAGGGGGGTCATAGGCACTGGAGGTGAGGGGGAGGGAGACAGGGGTGAGGGGGCACAGAAGCTGGGCAAGCATCTTTGAATCCTTCATTCCCTGGGAAGTCAGGTCACAGGGATTATGGGAGAAGAGAGGGTGCCAGGGTGCCAGACTCTGCCCCACATCAACTTTTTTTTCTTTCTTAATCCCAAAGCAGGGTAATCTTGAAAAACACCTCTCCCCAGCCCACAGCAACTGGGTCGGGTCAGACAGTGGCTTCTCCAGTGGAACTACTCTGCCCTTTTTAATATTTTGGCCACAACGCAAGGCATGTGGGTGGGGGGATCTTAGTTCTCCAACCAGGGATGGAATCTGCACCACCTGTGCTGGAAGTGCAGCCTTAACCACTGGACCACCAGGGAAGTCCTTGCCCTGGAATTAATATACATCCCTTGAACCCTCTGTTGTATTTTTCATCCTACCTACTCAGGAAATCCTGAGCTATTACCCTATTACAGGACCTCGAAATCCTTTCTATTGTCTAATCTGCATCTCAAATGCTGCCACTCCTCACTAGGTGCCCACCCCCAACTCTCCATCCAACCCTTCCTTCCCAGGGTGGGGCTAGGGCTCACCTGGAATAAAGGCACTGCTCGCCATGGAGATAGGGGAGGGGGGGCTTCCTGCTGCAGGACAGGGCCGGGTCTGTGCGAGGACTTTGGGGCTCCTTCTTGATCCTGGTGGTGGGGCTGTGGAAAGCTACTGTGGGGGTCGGGGGAGGCAGAGCAAGGCCAGAGAATGTCACAGGAGAGGCAGGAAGAGCTTCTGATGCCTTCTGACATCTTCTGGTCTTTAACCAGCAGTTGGTTGCTGGTATAGCCTCATCTCCCTTCTCTGGGTCACAGTTGTCAGAAGAATCATAGACACTTTTAAGAACAGTCTGGCTATTTATATTATGTCTAGTTTTCTACTGTTGGCTCATGTCCAATATGAACCAAAGAAACTGTCTAAGGTTCAACATTTAGTGCAACCCCAACCCACCCCCACCCTGCGCAAAACACCTTTGTAGGAGCAAGCAGCTCCAACCAAAGGCCTGTGGTTTTCCTGACTGTCCTGGAAAATTCCATGGGAGAGAAATGTTTTCTTATTTGGGGCTATAAAGTATCTTTCTTTTTCTGGTTAAGGTTGGATACTAGCCCACTTGCATGTCAGCTGACTAGCATCATACACACGCTCCTAATTATCCGTGAAGAACACTGGCCTTTCCTGTGGCCCCTGCTGGCTCCGCCAACTCCAGCCACCAGGCCGAGCAGCAAAGAGTTGGTTTCGAGACTGTGAGTGTGAGTCAAAACCCACAATCGACTGCTCTGTTGTTGATTATTTGTGCTCTATTTCATTTCATTGGTCAAGACTGTTAAAAGCTAAGTATCAGACATTAAAGCAGGGTTTCTCAACAGTAGCACCAGTGACATTTGGGCCACATAATTCTTTGTCATGGGGGCTGTCCTGAGCATCGCAGGATGTTAGCAGCATCCCTGGTTCTATCCATTAGATACCAACAGCACTCCACCCTCAGCTGTTAACAACCCCAAATGTCAACAGACATTGGTCTCTTGAGGTGCCAAGTCATTCCTAGTTGTGCACAAGTAACTTAGAATGGTAGAACTGGCCCCTGATGCAGTGGTCCAAGCCCCTCGTTTCAGAAATAAGGAAAGGATCAGAGAGGTGAAGCGTCTGCTCCAAGGTCACACTGCTAGAATGGGCAAGCCCCAATGTGCACCAAAGTTTTCATCTCTCAGTTATTGCTAGGCCTTTTGAGTCCAAACCCAAGAATGAGGAGCTCTGCCCTTCACCCTTTTTCAGAGCACAGAACAAGTTGATCTTTTGTGATCCTCTATCCCTATGACTAATTTCCTGCCCTCCCCCATTCCCAATCCCCTCTACCCAGGGCCCTCAACTCACAGTTTTCTGAATGGAAATCAGGAACAAACTGCTCATCACTGTCCGGTACCTGAGCTGCAGAGAGAGGTCAGAGGTGAGTCTGGGCTGAGGGTCTTGGATGGCAGCCCCCTGGCAGACTCCATTATTGCATCCCTGCAGATTAGCACCAGCCTGAAGGGGCAAGCAGCTTTCCTAGGACTGAAAGGTAACTCCACCCAGGTCCTAGCACCCTCCCTCTCGGGGCTCCCTTAACACCCTGGAGGGAAGGCTGCAGTTCTCAGAACCCGTCTGAGCAGATTCCAGAGTTGTGTCTTAGGTGCTTTGTCTTGTTTCCCTCCATTTTTCTTAAGTGAAGACAACCCAGCCCCTCAGAGTTTACAAAGTTCCCTCAAAGCAGTCACATCTGGGATAGGCAGGCATGACAAGGAGTGAGAGTCTGTGGACTTAGAATCACATGGGAAGATTCTGAATCTGGGCTGGGCCCAGAACTTCCCAGGTGAAAAGTAGAATTCTAGAGCCTGGGAAAGGAGATGGAATGGAAGGAAAAGACTGGTTCAAAAGAAGTGATAAGAGTATGACAATGGGAGAGGAGGAGGCTGGGGTCACTGGAGGTCACGGTGCTCTGTCCCTTTGATGTGCAACTTGGAGAGAGAAGGGCTTCCTAAACTGGAGCTCTGAGGAGCACTCCCAGGGTGCCGGTGTGGGTGGAGCTGGGTTTGGGGATTAGGCTGGAAAACTAAAATAGCACAACAGCTCATCCGTGGCCCCCAGACTGGATATCCGGGCTCTGATTTCTAGTTCTTATTCTGGACTCGCCAACTCCTTCAGGTGCGATCCAGCTGAGTACCTCTCCTGACCAGAGAATCGTTGCCAACTTTTTGCCCCTTTCTCAGGAATAAATAGATCACAGCAGGAAGGGAAAGGGTAGACACCAAGAAGGACTTCCTGATAGTCTGGGAAGAGAGTGGCTTGAAGGTAAGGCCACAGAGACAGGTCTTTCATCCCCTGTAAGCTGCTCTCAGTGGGCAATGGGAAAGCTCATGGATAAAATGATGGGAGAGTTGGAAATGGCTGGTAAGGGTGAGGGTACAAGGAGATGGCGGGACCACACCATCACTCGTCGCAGTCTACACAGGACACACCCCAATCTCTGTGGCTTCCCTTCTGGGCCAAGGCTGCAGTGTCTTCCTTGGATTTCAGCCATGACCTCAGATCAGAACTCCCTACTACTCTCCACAAGGCTGTCAGAGGGATCTTTATAACAGAAATCCAGTCACTTCTCTCTCTTGCTTAAAGCATGAACCCCAAACTCTTTGCCCTTGGCCTCCGTGGCCCCGAAGGTTCTGGCCCTTGCTTATCTCTCCGACCTGCCTCTCCTTGCCTGTTACCCTCCAGAGCTCTGGCCTCCTTTTGGGTCCAGCTTGACCCCTCTTCCCCACATCCTGGCCTGTTGTTTTCTGGCCTCTGAAGTCTTAGCTCACTTTGCCCTTTCGGAGGCCTTCTCTGACCACCCAAACTGAACTAGTCCCTCCTGGCTCTCGATCACATCCCTGTTTTCTTTTTTCCCGAGCACATATGACTTCTTGAAAGTATTAATTTAATTTATGCATATGTAATTTATGTGTAATTTATTATCCACCTCTTCTACGAAGAAGTTAAGATTGCTGAGGGCAGGGGATTTATCTGTCTTGTTTGTCTGACTCCCAAGCACCCCTGAAACAGGGTCCCATTCAGAATAGACACTCAATGCATTATTTGTCGACTATATGAATAAATATACAATGACCCCTGTCCTCAGGCCAATGGGAGGGAGCAACATGGGCCTGGGAGCAAGAACTAAGGAGATCCTAATCAACCAGCCCTTCCTTCCCCTTGAGAGCCCCCTCTCCACCACCAGTTAATATTAGAAGCAAGTCCTCCAGGGAGAATACTTCTCACAAAGGATGCTTAAGGCTGTGATCTATTGCTTGGCAGGTGGATTCTTTATCAACTTGCTTTAGACATCAGAGGTGTCAAGTGCTTTAAAATACACATTTATCGAGAGGAGGGATAAATTGGGAATATAGGATTAACGGATGCACACTATAATTTATAAAATGAATAGCAAGGATTTACTGTGTACCACAGGGAACTCTATTAAATATATTGTAATACTCTATAAGGGAAAAAATAAAAAAAAGAATCTTGGTATAGACACACATGTATATATGTATAACCAAATCATTTCACTGCACACCTGAAACTTAACACAATATTGTAAAGCAACTATACTTCAGTAAGAAACAACAAAATAAAATACACATTTATAGATTGGTGACTTCTTGACAGAGGGAACCCAATGGCTGAAGGGTTTAAGAATCAGGAGCCCACCAGCCCCTAAAGAACTTATGGAAGAAAAATCAGCACAGAACAATTCTGAAGTGATCAAATAGATCAGCAGGGCATGAAATCCCTTGGCAAAAACAAACAAACAAAAAACCAACACAGTACATCTTTTTAGGAGCGCAACTAGGGCACAAAGGCAACCGTTCCCAAACTGGCCCCAATCAAGAAGCCTGGGACACTCTTAGAAACAGATTCCCAGGCCCCATCCTTGGAGAGTCATTCCAAAGGCCCGGGGTGGGGGTGGGGGTATCTATCTATCTATATATTTTATATTCCCAGGCCCCACCCTTGGAGAGTCATTCCAAAGGCCCAGGGTGGGGGTATCTATCTATCTATCTATCTATTTTTTGGCCACACTGTGTGGCAGGCATATGGGATCTTAGTTTCACAACCAGGGATCGAACCCTCGCCTCCTATATTAGAAGCTCAGTCAACCACTGGACCACCAGGGAAGTCCCAGTCACCTGTATTTTAATACACGCCCCTGGTAGCCCCTAAGAACAGGCAGGTTTGGAAAATTGGATAAAGGGGAGGATGCAAAAGCTCAACTGCCCGAGGGGTAAGACCCAAGCCTATCCTTGCTGTGCCCTTTGGCACAACCATAGGTGAGAGCCCTCGAGACGGGCAGAATGGGGGTGAGAGGAGCGAAATGAACACTATTTCCCTCCCTGCTACCTGGGCAAGAAGCCCAGGGTGGGAGAGGTACAGCACATGGGGGAGGCTGATGCACTCTGGGCCCCCCCTGGGGCTTCATTAACTGCCAGTTTCCATTGAGGTAATGGGCTGGGGGCATCTCCTGCTGGCGTCACAAGCCAGGGCACGCGAAGGTAGAGAACCCTGGGGTCATCTTGACCTTCCTCTTGCCTCAGGTTGAAGGTTTGACCAGAACCCCCAATCCCCAAGCAGTCCTTTAGGAGGCCACCCCCAGCACCCTGGTAATACCTCAAAAGAGGTGGTGCTGCCCTCATCCCAGGGCCAGGAGAGATCAGCCAAGGCAAGAATGGGCTCTGGTGTGAACCCCAGTGCCTGCCTGGCCCCTCCCCAGAGTGCCAGCTCCTCCCAGAAGGGCAGGACAGGGCCTCCGTGGCTCAGAGACTGTCAAGGATGGAAATAGGAACACAGAACCTCGTGTTCCTGGAGAGCAGGAGAATTTCTAATGACCATGTTTGGTCTCGAGTGTCAGCCACTCTTTATTTATTTGTTGACTTGGCTGAGCTTAGGCTGCCAAGCCAGTGTGCCAGGGTCTGCCCCCAACTCCATCCTGGCACTAAGGTGTTTATCTGCCTAGGGACATAGCAGAGGATTAAGGAGGGGACAGGAAAGATGCCAAGCCAGCATAATGCCCAGAAAGAATTTCAGGGAACATCCCTCCAATAGGAGGGGAGTCAGTTGAAAAGGGGCTTAGGGGCTTCCCACCTGGGCTCCAGAACAGGTAGGTGAAAACAGCCAAGTAGCGAAGCCCACCCAAGTAAACCACCCACCTATACAATATATATATCCCACCACTTTCTCCCTCTCTGAGGGTCCGATTACAGGGCAGAGGGGCCTCTTAAGGAGCCCCAGTGGAAATGGGGGGAGGCATCCCCCGGAGCTTCTTCTCCATTTTGTCACCACTGGCCTCTCTCCCCTTACCCCGCCCCCACCCTGGCAGCATAATGGAAGGAGCCAGTTCTCTATCTATGGAGGGGACATTTGTCCCCAAGAGCCTTCTGGAAGGGGAGGAGACAAAGATATAGAAGGAGGCATTGTAGCCAGGGAAGACCAGAAGAGGGGATTAACCCCATCTCTTCTCACAGACAGGCTGAGCCCCAGCGTGCACACACATGGATTCACACACACCCAACTGCCTTTTACTTCACAGCTTTACACAGGTGAAACACATCCACATGGGATCTCTTTTTGGATTTACAAATACGAACGGGGAAAACCAAAGGACGAGGGGCTGCAGACCTCAGAGGAAGACTTGGGACTGATGGTTCTTATGCAAAGAGGAACACAGACCCACCCTTTTTAGAATCTCATAGGAGCTATGGATCCTTCTCTTCTTAGAAATATTCACATTCCTTTGTGTATGTTGCACCCCCAGTGATTTTATACACACATCGGAGGGCTCAAGGACCCCTGCAACCTATCCACAGAGCTTGTGGGAAGCCATAGACCCCATTATGGACTCCTGCCTCATACAAAGAACATACATGACCCAGAGTCAATGTTCCTTATCACCAAGAGACCAAAGGCATTGCCTCTGAGGGTTCCAGAGGGCTCCCCACAAACCCGGAAAGGAACCCTCGACCAGAAGCACATCTTTGACAATAACCAGACACAGCTTGGGCTCAGCCGATCTGAGCCCGAGGTTTCCCTGCAGTAGCGTGGTTCTTTCTCCAACAATTCAGCAGATTCCCAGGCACCCCAAAAATAAACACACCTTCTTAGCCTCACATCACCCCACCCCACTATCCATCTAGAAAACCCCCAATCCAAAGATGTCTGAGCTGCCTCCACAGATCCCCCGCTCACCCTCACCCTCTATGTTGCCTGGACACCAGATGCTGAACCCACAACCACCTCTGCCAGAATCCAACCTGGTGTCCCCCTAATTCTTCACAGCCCCACCCACACTTCAAGGACCCACGGCTTCAATCCAAATTGGGGCTTTAGGGAGAAATCAAGCTCTGGCCCCCAGTCCTACGCACCCCACCACTGGCAAGTTTCCAAAGGAACTAGTCCCTCCCTGCCACCCCAAAGCTCCCTCTGGGCTGCAGGGGTCACTGACCTGGTGGGAAGAGGCAGGAGAGGAGGCTGGGGTGGTGCTGGGACGGTGCAGGGGGACAGGGCCCCGGCAGCTGCATCTGTCTCCGCAGAGAGAGCGAGAAGGAGCAATCGGCCACAGCATCCCCCCCTCAGGCCTGGCCATCCATCGCCAGCTGGGAACCTGAGCTGCTCCCTCAGAAGGAAGGAGAGGGAACCAAGGAGATCCCAGCGCCTCCCCCCCAACCTGCGTCTTGCGATCCCCACCCCCACCTCCCCACCCACTGGATTTAAATGCACGGGCACTTCCAGGGCAGCAGTGTGAAACACACACTGGCTGTCACGCTGACACATGCAGAGAGACACAAGCACAAGGTCTAGACCCCCACAGCCAAGGGGTGGGGCTTCCAAGGTTGACAGAAGACGAGAACGTTTTCCTCCCCTTCCCGTTCCAAACCCTGCTGCTTCCGAAACACCAACGTCTGAGCCTACCCCTAGATCACAAGCCCCAGGAGCTGCCCACTTGGGGGAGCCTAGGGACCCTCAGCTGGACAGACAGGAGCCTGGTGAGCCAGACAGAAATCAGGCGTTAGGAAAGGAAGTCTTTGAGAGACCCTGGAAACTGACACCACTGCGTTCTTTTAGCTCCAGCCCAGCTCCGGAACCTCGAGCGGAGGATGGGCAGGATGGGCAGACTGGGCATAGCTCTGCTTGTAATTCGCAGCTGGGCACACAGGGCTTGCAGAATCAGGAAAGACAGCCACAATCTCCCTAGAGCCCCCAGATCTCTCCAGCACCCATGAGGACGTTGAGCCTTGAATTCCAAAATGTCTTGAGTGCTTGCTCCATGCTAGTCATTCTGTTAACATATATATTTAGGGGGATACCACAGCGGTCACAATAGATCTAATCTGTCTAGTCAGGGGTCTTTCCCTTTTACTCCAGGCTTTTAAAGATGGTTCTAGAGGAGCTGGGTTTGAGTTTTAAGAAATCATCCAAGAGACACAGGTGGAGGGATGGGGAGATCTCAAAGAAGAGAAAAGCCCTTGAGAAGGGGTTCCTAGTGCTGTGGTTTCTTGGGTTTCAGTGTTACAGTGAAGGGACCCTCAGATGGGGGTATTAACCCTTCCCTCTCAGAGACTCTCAACACCAAAAGCCGCTTACCTGCAGTCCTGCAAGTGACACCCTTGGGCTCCACCCAAATACAGCAAGGAATCCCACTAGAAGACCTCCGAGAATACACCTCCCTACGCAGAGGCCCAGTTACTGACCCCACTCCAGCCAGCTCACAGCTCACCCCCCTCCACCACCAGCCCCCCACTCCCGCCCCCAGCAAACTGGAGGAGCAATTTGCCTAGGGAAAGAGGAGGGAGGATCGGCTGCCATTAGAATTACAATCAAGGCGATTTGGGGGAGAAGCCCTGAGCTGCTCTGCCAAAGTGATGCAAAAAAACAAAAAAGAATTATTTAAACTTTTGTTGTTCTTTTGGCTCAGACAGTAAATCATTTGGTGCTGGGGGTTTGGAAGAAGAGAAACCAAGGGGGTAAAAATGAATGTTTCGGCAATTCCAGAAGACAGGTAATGAATTGCTCCTTCTCTTTCTCCTGCTTCTTACACTAACTCCCCTGCCCCAAAACCCTAACACACACCTCAGCCTGGGGGCTGGTGCCAAACAAACTTTGCAAATGAAAATTTCAACCAGGAAAACGGGCCTGGGGCCAAGTTCCATTCAAATAAGCAAATACCCCACACAATGGTCTGATTCATCCCCAGGCCTAGTTACACAAGCCTGGCTCAGGGCAGAGAAAACAAATATCAATATAACTATCCACAAGGGCGCTGGAAAGAGTGGAAAGGCAGGAGACTTGGGGAAGGGGCCTTGCAGAGGCCCTGGAGGCCAGCGAGAGGAAGTGAGCCTTGTTGGAATACTAGGGGTAGAGAGCATCCCCCACCCCAATAATAGAAAAGGTCACAAAACTACTCACTCACCTTCAGCGAGCCACGTCTCCTGGAAGTGACTTAGATCCTGGAAGAGATCTGAGGGGGTGAATAATGGAATGGAGAAGGTGAGGTGGAAGTGGCGGTGAGAGAGTGGGAACCCTAAGGAGCCCGGTGACCTCCCCCTTGGGGGTTGGGGGAGGATGAACAGAGTCCCTTGGAGGGCAATTTTTTTTGCGGGAAAAGGGCGAGGGCTCCAGGTTCAGCCCTCAGGGTGTGTGAGGTGGGGAGGGTTGCGTTTTGTCTCGCTGTCTCTTTACCTTCGGAGTCGGGGGGCGGAAGGGAGCCCGGGTCCATGAGCTTCCCCTGTGGGACCGTCAGAGCTTCGCGCAAGCTCCCATTTCCGGGCGATTTCTGCGGGGAAGGGGAAGAATGCCCCCGAGTCACCCTGAAGCTGCCTGGTCTGGGGGGCGGGGCTGGGGTCCCGGGGTGACTCAGGGGCGGGCAGCCCTGGACCCCGCTGGGGCCGCGGGTGGTTTGGGGCGGGTGCAGGGAGGGGGCGGGCGTGGAGGCCGGCGCGGCGCTCACGCTGCAGAAGGTGTAGGGCACTTGCTGGTCCAAGTATCCGCCTTTCATCCTCCGCTCCATCCGGCCGCTCCCTCCGGCCACACGGCCCGGGCCCCGCGCGGGGGCAGAGACCTGGGGGCGGGGGGGCTGCGTTCGCACACCGTCTGGGGAAGGCAGCGAGGTGGGGGTGGGTAAGGGAGGCGGGGAGGGGCAGTCCCGAGGCTCCGGGTCCGACGGCAAAACTTCTCCGACTCACTCAGGCGATGGGGAGGTTTCCGCCTGCAGAGCTTAGCGCAGCCACACTGCCCTCCCGCCAAAGAGGTCCCACCTGCTCCTGGGAACCGGGGTCGCCGTTTCGGCTGCTTTCTGCAGCCCTGCTTTGCCCAGACTTGGTTACATAAGACGTGTGTGTGTGTGTGTGTGTGTGTGTGTCTGTGCGCGCGCGCGCGAGTGTGCGCTAGCGCGCGGAGGAGCAGGCGAAGCGCGCACTATTCGCACGCCCACAACTCGGGCGCCCCCTCCAACCCTGAATCCCAGCGCCTCCCACCCCCTGCCCTGGAATCTGCGGAGGCGGCGTTGAGAGTGTGATGAGTGTTGGAGGCGAGGCTGGGAATCACACTCTCCCTCCCTCTCCCTCCCGTAGCCTCACCTGAGGCCCGGGCGTCTGTACTGGAGCCGCGAGGGGTTCCGAGCATCCCCCCCGGGTTGCACCGAGGGCCGCGGGGCTAGGCAGGAGCTAGGCGACCCCGGCCCAGGGTCCCCAGCGCACCGGCTTGTTTTCCGGGCGCCGCCGACAGTTGTGAGCCCGGGGGAGCCGCTGATTGGTGCATTTCCTTCGCCTCTGCCTGGGCTCTATCTACCCCCCACCCCGCTCCCTTTGTTTCATTGACTTTTGTGAATGAAACCCTAGGGCCGGGCACGCCCGCCAATCCCGAGACTCGCTCTGCCGAGCCGGAGGGGCGGAGTTTCCCAGCAGCGGGGGCCAATGAGAACTCAGGGGTTGGCTCCCGGCTTCATTCACCGCTTGGGCTCCCATTCATAAAAAAATAAACTCCTGGCGGCCGGAGTTCATTCATAAAGAGCTGAGAGAAAACGAGGGAAGCCAAGGACCCGACGGCTTCTCTGTGGGACTCGGTGGTGACCCTGACTCTCTGCTAACTCCTCCGGCTGGCGTCTGCACACGTCTCTGTGCACCCGCGTGTACGTGGGAGTGTGAATGTATCTGTGTGTGCGCCCTGGGGGGAGGCGAGCGGACTTGCATGCCTAGAGGAACAATAATAACGAGCATTTATGAAGCTCTCTGCTTCCACGTGCTCATTTCATTCCCATAAGCTGGCGAAGGGTTCTATTGTTTCCATTTTACAGAGACTGAAAATGAAAACTCAGAGAGGGGCGGTGGCTTGGCCACTCGGCGTCTGGAGTTTGCAGCCCCCGACCCTCTACATTTTCCGGTATAGCCCTTTGAGGCCACAATTAAGTGAATTAAAGGTATGTGACAACAATTGATACACAGTAAGCACTCAATAAATGTAAGCTGGCACGGAATCCAGGCTTTTCCTCAAGGGTCTGTTCTCTGCAGAGCTGTTCTGTGACCCACTTTCTATTGATTGAAGCAGAAACTAGAGGCCTGGTTTGGACCTCTGAAAGTGCAGTTCTCTCTCTGCTATCTTTCCTCTTATCCTGAGAGCAAACACAGGGTATTAGGGAGCCAAAACCCAGAGATTTGATGATCTGAGAGCAGGCCTGCGTTCAGTTCTAGCCAACAAGCTTCTCATAGTCTTTGTCACCTCATTCATTTAGTAATTCATTTGATAAACATTTATTGTGCCAGACATAGTGCTGGGTGCCAGACAGGAAGCTGTGACCAAGACAGACACTTGATGGGAGCTGGGCTGCTTAGGCTGGAGCCATGGGGGCACATAGAACTTAAAGTCCTCCAGGTCTTTTTTTTTTTTTTTTTCCTGTGACAATCTGGGTCTAGAGTTGATGAGTTCCTTTGAGGAGATACTGATTTTGTTTCCTACCTGTTTGTGATAAACACTAGAGACTGACCAAACCTCAGGCTTGCTTTCAAAATTCATCTAATCTAACACCCCCACTTTCCAGATGTGGCTGTGGAACTTCAGAGAAGGAAATGATATGTGAAAACTGTTGTCAGGGTCAGAACTGGGACTAGAACACCAAACCTCTAGCACCTGTTTGGGGCTCATTTCAGGAGATCGTCCTGGGCAAATGAAAATAAACTTCCTCCCCTCTTTTTAAAAACATTTATTTCTTTATTTGGCTGTCCCGGATCTTAGTTGCAAACATGTGGGGTTTTTAGTTGCAGATCTAGTTCCCTGACCAGGGATCCAACCAAGGTGCCCTGCATTGGGAGCATGGAGTCTTAGCCACTGGACCACTGGTTAAGTCCTCACTTCGCTCTCTTTTCAGCTGAAATGTTTAAGACTCATGCCTACTGCCTCTCTTCTCCAGGAAGCCTTCCAGAGAGCCCTAGCCAGTTCCTTAAAGACACTACGACGTTCTTGCCTCTATCTCTGTTGTTGGTATCTTTTTCTGCTACATGGTCATCGATTGTATGGAGAGTTCTCCAGGGCCTGGAGAAGATCTCATTTTATTTGTCTCTTTAAAATCTTTCCCCAGCCTACTTCATGTGTCCCAGGAAATACTTGTTCAGTGAGTAGGTAGTATTAATACAATAAAGACCAAACTAATCGAGCTTAGAAGAAACCTTGCCCAAGAAAGGAGAGACAAGCCCAAGCAAATCCCAGCTTTAAGCTGGATGGGACCAGTTTAGGGAGGAGCTTATGCCTCTGAGTCAAGATAAGTGGGGGAGGAGCATGGAGGGTTCTTCCAGGAAGGCAGCTCTGATGTAGTTTCCATGACAATGAAGAAGATCCTGGCAGATCCTGGACAGAGCTCTCCAGTCCGGGGATCTCTTAAGGATGCCCAATCTTTCTGAGTTTTTCCACTTCCCTGGAGGGCCCCTGACTCCCTGGACAGTAAGTGCTTCCTCTACATTCCTCAGCCAGGGTTATGGCTGAGGGGCCCTCCCCCTCTGACTCTGGCTCAGAGTACTGGCTGAATGGGAGAAGATACTGCTGCTGTTGCCGTTGGCCTCTGATTCAACATTCAGGCTCAGAGCAGTGACACCTCTAGGGGAAACATTTGAGCCTCTTCCAGGGCTTGAGATAACTGGAGAGGAAGGAAGGGGCTGCAAGTTTCTGTTGGAAATCTTACCGCAATAACCAACATTTAAGGACTTCCCTGCCAGTCCAGTGGTTAAGACCCTGCTTTCAAGGTAGGGCACATGCGTTCGATCTCTGGCCAG